TGTGTAGGTGTTAATGGCACAAGAAAATGCAGGTCATTCAAAGAGTGCACCCACAGGAGTGCGTTCTGTATCTAGCCATAATATAACCTTTGCCTTAATATAGCTATAATATATCTAGCCATAATATAAGTGAGAAGCAAAATATTAGTTAAAAAGCAATGGTCCTTGAAGTGCAACTTAAGTGAAATGTGTAGGTGTCAATGGGACAAGCAAATGCAGGTCATTTAAACAGTGCAGTCTTGAATAAGCAACATATGCCGTCCCCTCAGAAGTGTTTTTTGTATCTAGCCACAATATAACATTTGATAATGTCTGACCCTGCACTTTAGAAATTGTTGTTGCATAGCCTGGAAGGAAAGGGTATTTTGTGACCAGTATGTCTTCAATAAAAGTAGTCATGGGAAACACATTGATAACGTGTCCATTGGGATGAATGGCTATTATTGTTTTATTTGAAATGCTCTGGACAGTAACAAATTGGCCGTTAACAAAACCAATGGATTTATTGACATTGCCTGTAAACATGAGTTTCATGTCTTCATGTATTGGAATAAGGGATTCATCGTCTGCAACAACCAGAGCTAATGGATGCTGTTGAAAAGCATTTCTGACAATAACATCATTAGCAAAAGAAGCTGTACGCCGAGTTACTGTAAGAACAAGAGAATGTGGGAATCATTTCAATATGTCATATAAATTATCCTGAAGTATATCACTATCAGGAAGAATGCGATCTTTGCATAGTTTATTTATCATTTCTTGTGTTGGCACGTCATAGCGAATATAATGTAGAAAATGAAGCAGAATATCATCTTGAATTCTATGTTGCTGAGACAAGGTAAAGAGTACAAGATCAGAAATGCAATGGCTGCAGGACATTATGTTTTCAGCCTGGACAGTTTTATTGTTCCTAGTGGAAAGCGGCTGTTGTTGACAAAAATCTTTATAAAGAATGAGAATGGGGCATGTTGATAGGACGGAAATGGTGTGTATGACATGATGGATTTCACAATTTATTCTTTAAGGTACGGCAAGTTCAAATATGGTCAGCAATTGTGAAAAAAGTATTTGGTTCATGTTTTATTCACAATTGAAATGTTAATTTTCATTTTGCTGCTCAATATATTTCCTTGAAAAACTTTGTAAGTTCAAACTTTCAGCGGCATTAAAGAACTCAAAAGTGTTTTCAAATGTCCCAAAAAACTTGTTCTTCTGGTGTGGTTCACTTTCGAATTGATATATTTGATTTTTCCTAGTTTCTTAGTTTCGTATTTTTTTTAAAAATCTCAACTGTACAAAGTAAACCCTTCAATTTCTGTTTCTCTATTTGAAACCAAAAATCTTGAATTATCTTTGTATGAATACAATTTTCTCTGAAACTATGCAAGATACTTAGAACCAACACCAGAGCGAGGGGTGTCAGAAAAGTTACCACAGGGATAACACCTGGCACAAAATTCATCCCGTTCTGCCCACCCTCCCAACCCGAATTATATATTCTACTCAAAGCAGAGAAGGACTCAATAAAATTTCGGTTTGAACAGAAAAAAAACAAATGGCGATTCTTTAAAAAATTTTATAATAAATTTTAAAAATCTTAAATAAATTTTAAAAGTCATTTATCCTTCTTCTTTCCTTCACCATTGGTTTTTGCTTGGGGTATGTCTTCATTGTCGATGATGACACGGCTTTTTCTTTTTTTGGTACAATTGGGCTTCACTTCTTGTTTGTCTTCTTTGTTAGTTTTGTGAATGATCGTGGTTGGCGGTTCCGGTGGCACTGTAGGAGAGTTTAGGTTTAGTGATTGTGACGGTAAAGGAGGGGGAGGTGGTGGAAGAAGGTGGGCGATGGCTTGATAGATTTGAAGAAGTTGTTTTTGCTGAAGTTGTTGTGGTGAAAAGTTATTGTTTACAGTTTCTGCAAAAGTGGTAGACATAAGTTGGGATGAAAGTCGATTGGTATATGTTTCTGTTGAAGTAGCAGTAGAAAGTGGTTGCGTTGACAGTTGGTTTGGCAAGGATTCCGTTGTTGCTGTTGTAGAGAGTTCTTGGGGTGATGTTGTATTGGGATATGTGGTTTCTTGTGTTTGAAGCTGTGAGGTTAACGATAATCTATTGGGTGATGAAATTGTGGAGGTTGGTTTGGGGTTATGTAGTAAAGGGAGCAAATCAATTATATTTTTCGTAGTCTTGAAAGTCGGTTCCTTGTTGGGTGCAAAAGTTATCATGTCGGCATAGTTATTAGGATCTGAAATGAGTGTCTGTGCCACCTTGAAGTTAATTCCAATTGAAAAAAGTGCCGCACCAAGCTCAACACATTCGTCCAGTTTCGCTCCTTATGTATTCCCGGGATTCAAAAGGGCCAGCAGAAGATTCCGTCTTTGGACATCATTTGGCACAGTTTGACTTTCCTTGTGAAAAGGAGCCAACAGCTGTGCCACAGGTTGTAAGTCACAGGTTGTAAGTTCCTTGTGAAGTCCATTTTCTTGTTGTCGTCTAAGAGGGGCCTCCTCAGCCATTCGCAGCCTTCTGGCCTTAGGCGTGTAAGGGCTACCTGTTCTGGGGGATATGCCTCAACGCGGCCATAAGGCTTCAAAAAGTTTTTTGGAAAATGGTTTAAGTAACCAACTCCCTTTCCTTTTTTTGATTGTGTGTAGGCCATTTGTAAAAAAAGAGACACTATAAGTTGACTAATGCAAACAGGAAAAACCCTTCTTATGGCAAGGCAATTGAAAGAAAAAGAATTTCATGTAGTTTCTGGAACATAGCTGTGTCGTCAGTGTGTGAAAAAGTATTGTGAAATTTTTTTTTCTGACACTGAATCAGAATATGGGGTTGAGAATTCTAATAAGATATATGAAAGTGATATGGATGCAAGACATGAATCAAACGATTTTGACCCATGTGAAACCCTAAAGAAAAGATCAAACACCAGTCTAGAGACAATGGGTATCTCACCAGTAAACCTGCATGGGATAGCCCAGCACAGCCGAGCTTCAAGTGCCAGAGCAAAATTCGACAGAGTGGTTGGAACATTGCAAACAAAGTTATCTAGTGCTCACAGTGTGGGTGTTGCTACCTTGGATAACTTGAATTCAGCTACACAAAATGATGAGATCCACCAAAAAGCATCTGAGCAAGACAGACTGCATGAAGCAATGAAGGAAAGGCTTGTCATTGCACGTTATCCTGAACAGATTCAAATCTTAACTCTTGCTCCAGATGCATCGTCTAGCAGTGGCGGATTCAGACCGGGTTCCAAGGGTTCTGGAGCCCTGTCACCTGTTTTCCCTTTACTTTGGAATAAATCGCAACGAGTCCCAACGTCAAATGGCCTATTGTACCAAAACCTTTACTGCTCTCTAAATATGGTATTGTGAAAGAAAGGAACCCTGTCGTAGCCATGGCAATCTTTTGTAGAGTATTATATTCCTCTAAAGAAAGGAACCCTGTCGTAGCCAAGGCAACCCTTTGTACCATACTGTATTTTTTAAGAAAGGAACCCTGTCATAGCCATGGCAATCGATTGTCTTATATTGTTTCTGCTACAAACAAAAGAACCCTCTTGGAACCCATCTCTCGAACCCATTGGAACTTATTTAAACCACTGACCATACCTGCTTCCTGTTGTCATAATGGCAACGTAAAGCTGCGAGTGACTGCGCGAAGACGAGAGCTTGTTTTAAGCCCTCAAACAGGAAGAGACCAGCACCTGAAGATCAATGAAATTTGATAATCGTATGGAAGAGTGCTATGAATTTTCAACAAAGCTTTTCAAACACGCCTAGCCAACTATTTGCTCATTTTTCTCGACTGGCCTAGCGAACCCGGAGGAAGCAGATCACCGCTTTTTTGCTCATGGATCAAGCAAAAAGTCAATTGAAGAACCATAAATTTAAGATATACACTCAAGTTCAAAAAGTATTGGGACAAATTCGATAAAAGAAGTATGGCATTGCGCTATTCCGGTTTGCAATGGAACCTTGTTCAGATATGATTACTGATAAATAGTTATGCCCCAAACGTCTGATCATAATTGCTAGGCTAGGTATTTTAACAATAATGAATATACTAATGAATATTGTACTTGATAAGCCCACCTCGTGATCTGGAAGCCAAGTTTAACCTAACCAATTCCGAAATTTGATATTATTTTTCCAAACATCGCTGCTCTTCAAGTCTGTTACTGACTGTTGGTACATGCCACTGGTCATTGCAGTGGCAATTCTTCGAAGTCTGCAAAGGATTTCTTCTTGATGATTGCGAGCCCCATGTTCCGTCAAAGACAGCCATCTTTCCCATACTTGCTCCTGATGGAAATCACAAAGATAGACTCGGCATTCTGTGAATATAATAAAAATCAGAAGAGATCAGATGAAAAGCGAATTTGGAGCAGACTGATAATATTAACCACCTTTTATGGGTATATGAGCATCATGCCTTAAAAAAAATTAATATCTTACATACCTGGAAAGATCCTGGTGATTGCATTAATTTCGGTGTCACTTTTATCAACCATGAAATATCTTAGTTTCCACTGAGGGCACCATTGGTGGGTCATTTGTAAGGCCTCTGCTATTGATGCTTGTATTTCATCTTGAACAACGAATGATGCAACAACTTGATAGTCAGTGTTGGTTTTAACAACGAGAAAAAATAAAGGAAGCGAATATCTAGTTGTTTTATATGTTGCATCTAGCATACTCAGTTCATTTTCGTGGCGACGAAGAAGTTTTTTCTGCCATAAACTTTGATAGATCAAGAGTAGCCTGTTACTTGAAGTTATCAGTTTGATGCTGATATAATCTGTGACATCAGCATCGTCTTTCAGCTTGCCAAGTTGTTGGTATAGGTCACAATCAGGTTTGATATCTGAATATTTTCTGTAATAAAAGGAGTCACGCGGACACTTCTTCTTCCATTCTTCAATTTTTTTCTCAAGATTAACTTAATCAATCTTGGAGAACCGCAGATGAACAGTGGCAAAATAAATGTGATTCTTTACAGGTACATTTGAAGGATAAACCTTCGATTAGTTGGTGCAGGTAGACTCTGATCTTTGAACAGGTAATTTTTGACATAACACTTTATGTGTCTCTTCATCTCTTTCACGTTTCTGATGCCCTCTGATATTTTCAAATGGATTAAGTCAATATTCCTTGTATCTACCTGTTGTGCTATGTCTGCTTCCTGGAACAAAATGGAAGTGGTGAATTGACAAGAACACAAAATATAATGAGATGTTTAAAGATCTTGAATTTGAACACAAAATTTAAACAATATATGGGTTTGTGGCAAAACAAAATAAGTGTCTTGAGTATAAGTAGTTTATCAAGACACTCTAAAAGAGGATCTCTATCAGAAAAAAGGTGAAATGAGTCACATGCTCTTTAAAGTGAACCAAAGTGCAGGCCTTGTGCATCTTATCATGGTTTTTTGCAAATCATGTGTTGTTTAGAAAATCTGACATTAATTTGTATGTCTCAAAACTTCTTGTCATATTATAAAAATGTGTGTTAAGTTAATGTGTGTAAGACCAGTTCTTAATTTAGAAACTTACAGCACCAATAGGATGAAATTTATGTTCCTCAGGGCTAGGGTAAGATACAAAGATTCGTCTCTCAACTTTTACTTCTGCTCCAGTTTCAATGGTTGATCTTATAGTCTTTGATGCCTCTTTTCTGAAGTGAGGTGTCTCTTTTTGAATCTAAAAAAATTGAGACAATTTTAAGATGAGGTGACCTGATAATGTGCAAAAGTGAAGAATTCTGAAGCCTATAACCCCTTGTTGTCACAACCAAATAGTGATTATAGGGTTAGAATCCAGTCTGTCAGTAGGTTATGGTTGCAAAATCAACTTTCTGATATAATCAGAGAACCATAGTAACATCATTTAATTTACGTAGAAAAACCCGAATATGACGGTTAAATAAAAGATTGTCAGGATTGGGTGTTAATGGATTTTGTCCTCCTTATGAGATTAAAAGGTAAATGAAAACATCTCACTTTGAAATCAATGAATCTAACAATATCTTTCATGTGGATCCTGGCTGGACAATCAAGTTTCTTTGTATCTTGCAAATGGAATCTTCTTTTCTTATGCAGGCTGAAGTCTCTATGCTGAACCTGCAATATGTAATACAGAATCATCGTTGATGAAAAAACAATGTCAGTTGACAATCAAGTATTTGATTTCAAAGCAGCAAAGTAAAAGTGTCTTTCTATCAAACAGAATAAGATTTAAGATTTAAGACCTTTAAAATTCAATCAGACTGACAAAGTTTTAAGAACTTCCTTGGCTTAATCCCTGCTTACCTACAGTACAGACCTAACATAATTAAATAATTGTACTGAAACTGTTTGAAAAGTTGCAAGAACTGCTTTGCAGTTTTTCCCACAAGAATAGAACTAGTTCATCATTGAAAGTTTACTCACAACATGGTATTTTGACTCCGACCAAAAATATTTTCTAATCACAAGTTCAGTTATAAATATACAAAAATCAGGTCAGTAAACTCAGTGCCTTCATTCCATGCATATACAAAGTCAAAAAGCATGATGTATGGTTAAGTAAGGTATGAAGATTTAAATTTAAAGAATAAGAATAGGCATAGGTAAACATAGTTATACTTCATCTTCGCCCTTTTTCTGGAGATTTCGCCAAGATTCATGTCTCTCGGTTGCATGTTGACATTCCAGAATTACCTCACCATTAATGAAGAAAGGAGTTCCATCATAGCCAATGCTATGTCTTCCAGAATCATTCTCATCCTTTGCTCTTTCATGCCAGACAACCTTGTGTCCTTTGAGTGAAGTGCAAAATAAAAGATTTGAGGATGTTTGAAAATTTTTTGTTAATATTGCATTTGATAGTTACTTGTTACTGCCAATAAATATGGCCTATTTTACAAAATTGAAGTCATTATATCAATTTGCTGATTTTGTAATTGTAACTCTATGTAATGTTTCTTTTTCCATTGTTTGTATTGCTTAAGATGATAAACATAAATTATATGTTCCAATGTGCTAATATTTTCCAACATCATATATTTTTATTTACTACTGTTTTGAATAGTTTAATTTAAAGGACCTTTGGAAACCAGAACTCAGCTAGCAACTGTCCAAAAATAAACATTTACAGAAAATAACAGAATTTACAAAACAATTTCAAATTTAGAAGTTGGGGGTACACTCATACAAACACTGCAGGGGAGTATTTTCATTAAAACAAAGGAGCACCTCCTGGAAATAACTTTTTTGTTCATTGCTGTTAAATTTTTAAGAAACCCATGCCCCAAATGCCCACTGGCTCCTACAGCTATGATAAATTCCGATTTGCAATAAGCCTGGACTGGCCCTCCTAACTGTTATCACTGAAAGGTTAGGCCTATCTTGATCCTGAGGGAGGCATTTAATTATCCAATCCTGTCTCAATAAGGCAAGCTTGTTTCATTTCTAGTCAATCTGGCTAGGAAGGTAGGTAAGTAGGCTAATGGAAGCCAGCTAGGCTTCGTCATTTGGATTCAAAGGAAGCATTGTGGAGCTTAGGCCTACAAATAAGGAAAGTCATCTAATGGAAATACAATACCTTTGCAGCCAAATTGCTTGTTCTTTCTCCAAACAACAAATTTTGTTGTTGTTTCTATCTCGAAGTCTCTTATGCTCTTCAGTGCCTCTTCATAGGTTTTGTAGAGTCGCTGGTTGGGATTTTCAGCTGTGTGGTTGACAATGTCCGCCATTGATAAAAAGTAAATTTTGGCGCCAAAGCGATTAGAGCAATCAATAATAAGTGATGGGAGCAATCAATAATAAGTGATGGGAGCAATCACAAACAAGTGATCGCTGAAACTCATGAATAATTAATGAACACCAAATAGGTTATGACATTTAGCCTCTACCTACTTTCTACAACTACTTCAACAGAAACTTTAACAAACCAACTTTCATCCCAATTAATGTCTACAACCACTTCTGCAGAAACCGTAACAAACCAACTTTCATCCCAATTAATGTCTACAACCACTTCTGCAGAAACCGTAACAAACCAACTTTCACCACAACAACTTCAACAACAACAATTTCTCCAGATCTATCAAGCAATCGCCCACTTTTTCAACCTCCTCCCCTTCTTTACTATCACAACCACCATACCCAACTGTCCTACAGTGTCAAACCGCATCAAAAATTGAAAACGCCGTGTCCTCTCTGATGATGAAGATATTCCTAAAGAGAACAATGGAAAAGGAAAGAGAAAAAGGAAAATGACTTTTAGAATTTATTTTTTTATAGACTTGCCATTTGTTTTTTTCTGCTCAAACCGAAATTTTATTGAGTCTTTTTCTGCTTTGAGTAAAATATATAATTTGGGTTGGGAGGGTGGGCCGAATGAGATGAATTTTGTGGCGGATGTTATATTATAGTGATAACTTTTTTGACGAAAATTTGTTTCCAACCAATCTTCTTCAAACATATTAACATTGTTGAGAGATGAATGCATGCCAAAGATTTCTAGGGTCCAGGTCACGGTTGGGCTGTGAGCGTGTGGCAAAGTTTCTGTTATATGACTTAAGTACAGGAACACAACTTTACATTGTCACTGTTACAAAATGTTATAGATTAAAGGTATTCTTCTATAAATTGGCAAAAAGTTGTATCTCCATAAGTTGCAAGTATTGTGAAATTTCTGTGTCATTATTCTGAAGGATGTTGCACTCATTGGCCTTACAATGCTTTAAGGCTACAGTACATAGAGATAGGAAGGCTAGAATGGCTTAGCTTTTGACAAAATTTGGTCATGGTTGTTTTGTGTGCAGCGTACAGGTGCACAAACTGTTGGAAAATGAAAAAGGATCTTCAGCCTGGAGAACAAAACATTGCATTTCACAGGTGAAGTTTTAAAGTGATATTTTTGCTTCTTGGTACCTTGGCCTAGGCAAACAGCCTTGCAATGACCTAAGGCTGCGATTGAGCATTTCGCCATATTCTCAGAATGCTGAAAACATTTAGAAGGGTGAAGATGAATAAAGGAAATAGATGAAAACCAATACCATACAACAAGGAAAAGTTGTTAATAAGAACATATGTAGCCTGAATAAATAACTGATATTACACATCCGTGGACCTCGTCGAAAGGTAAGTTAAAGTCGGCAGACAAATCCACAAATCAATTTTATGGTGGCTTGTTCGACCTAAGTGTGTTATGAAGTTTTATTTTTTACATTTTAGTGATATGAACGAACTAACAATACATGAATTCGTTGCAAATAATAAAAGGATGAGTTGTAAAATTATTTATTTAATATTATAGCGAAAAGGTCACACAGCCACTTTAATCTTTGTTCGTTTTTCTGCTTGAAAGTAAAAAATATCACCAATGAACATGTGATCATTGTGTTTTCCATGACTAGTGTTACTGATGACATACTGGTCACAAAATATCCTTTCCTTCCAGGCTATTCAACAATAATTTCTAAAGTGCAGGGTCAGACATTGGCAAAGATTTTATTTTGGCTAGATACAGAACGCACTCCTGAGGGAACAGCATATGTTGCTTTTTCAAGAGTGCCCTCTTTGAATGACCTGCATTTTCTTGTGCCATTAACCCTTTCATTGTCTAGGCGCAATATATTGCGTTTAAGGACCATGTGATACCCCATAGACAAAACTTTCATTAAAATATGCAGCTATTTTGAATTTTCACTAAAAATTTATGCAGGAAACTGACCAATGGTGATACAAGAATCATTTTGTCAACTATTCCCATGGAATTATGCGCTTATATTGCATATTTTAACAAATCCCGCGAGAGTTGATTAGAACAGATGAACGCCATTTTTGCTGTTCGATTCGAAACGATTGTTACCTTCGTCGCCATTTTTTTATTCGATTTAATATGGAAAGCTTCAATGGTTTGGACTCAGACGAAGAGTATGAAATAGACTGTCAATTGCTTGCTGGTAGAGAAGTTGAGATCCAGTTTGTATTGCCGGAATCAGAGACTTGCGATGCCCCAAAACAATGTGGGTCGAAACGGAGAAGGGAAGGGAGATACGGAGGTGTTGATCAGTTACCCCCTCAAAGGTAAGGAATTTTAGTTCAATTTACGACTAAAATAGATAAATATTATCCACACTGATATCATTCTGATCCATTTAAAACAAATACAATGTACAAACCATCGCCCATGCGTTACGTTTGTGTTGTTGTTTGCAACAGGCCTAGCCATGTTGGCTACAATCAGCTGATTACGCGAAGCAGATAAATTGCAGGCAGGTTTCAAGAGTAAAAGCGAATGAATATTTGAGGATAATGGGAAAAATAGATCTACGGAAACGTAAATGATATTTTGATTTTTTCATGAGAGTATTTTATTTTTTATTGTAAGCATTTTGTGGTGCTAGGATTTCTCTAAAATTATTCGATTTTAGTAGCTTTCCGATCGTTCCATTTTTTGTTTGTCTGCCCGTTTTTGCTTTTTGACTGGGTAGATTGAAGTTTGCCAATATTGAATTGACCTGGAGGTCATAGCTACACAATATCCAACTTTGCAGACTTCATTTTTTACAAGGTTCTTTTTTTATTTAGAATCAAAAAGTCCACCGGAAGTGCTGATAATGTACCAGAAACTGGATTTGCCTGCAGCTGATGCCAGAGGACTTGATGAAGACGAATATGAGAGCGATGGTTCTACTGAACATGAAGATGATGGAAATGATGAGGCACAATTGAAAGGGTACTGTGGAGACAACCCCAGAAAGCCCATTCCAGCCCACAATGTTGCAGAAACTGGGCCAGTCATTGTGTGGGGAAGAGGACAAGAACCGAAAAAAGCTCTGGGCTTTTTTCTTCTTTTCTTTCCTTTCCAGCTAATGCAAACTATTGTAAATAATTCAAACTTGTATGCTGTTCATGGTAAAGGGATTGGCAAAAGCTACATGGCACAGTCTCATGGTGAGCTTGCATGGAGAAAAATTGATATGATGGAGTTTCGCAGGTTTCTGGCCTGCCTAATTTATATGGGCATTGTCAAGACACCCACACGGGAAAACTATTAGCAAAATGATGTCCTTTTTCCGGATTGTTAGATTCAATGTTTCTGCCAACATTTAGAAGGTATTGTGCAATTCTTGCAGCCTTGCTAATGAAGACAGATTGGATCCTTTGTCCAAAATTAGAAATATTTATGACTTTCTTCGCAGCAGATGTAAAGAACTTTTTGTTCCAAAACGTTGTGTTTCCATTGATGAAAGGATGGTGAAGTCTAAAGGAAGATTCTTTTCAAACAATACATTCGAAATTAGCCTACAAAATGGGGTTTTAAATTATGGATATTAGCAGACTCTTCCACTGGCTATAATTGGGATATGGTGGTCTATACTGGCAGAAAGAGAGGCGATGGCTGGGATGACTTCACAGTGAATGAAGACAACTTTAAAGGAATACCTGAAGGATTGGGTAGACAAAGGCCCATGTCAGTTGCAGATGAGACTTCTGGCTTATTGTCTCAGCTAGCAGCAAGAGTCGTTATCTAATAAATCCATTGGTTTTGTTAACGGCCAATTTGTTACTGTCAAGAGCATTTCAAATAAAACAATAATAGCCATTCATCCCAATGGACACGTTATCAATGTGTTTCCCATGACTAGTGTTATTGGAGACATACTGGTCACAAAATACCCTTTCCTTCCAGGCTATACAACAACAATTTCTAAAGTGCAGGGTCAGACATTATCAAATGTTATATTGTGGCTAGATACAAAAAGCACTCCTGAGGGGACGGCATCTGTTGCTCTTTCCAGAGTGCACTCTTTAAATGACCTGCATTTGCTTGTCCCATTGACACCTACACATTTCACTTTAGTTGCACTTCAAGGACCATTGCTTTTTAACTATTATTTTGTTACTCACTTTCAGACAGCATATACACAAACACAAAAAAGGAAAGGTGTTGGTTATTTCCACCACTATCCAAAGAACTTTTTAAAGCCATACGGTCGAGGAGAGCCCTACCCCACTGATGCTGTGGCAGCTTAAGGCCAGAGGGCTCTGAGTGGCTTCGTTGGCCACATGTTGCTGCACCAGAGCTTGCATCGACAATAAACAATAACCTACCAGTTTTGGATGCAGATCTTGCCCTATTAGATGAGAGAAAGCTTGCTTCTTTCAAGCAAAATATATAGTCATTGGCCCTACTATTGCAGCAGTTTCATAAGATTCTTTGCTGAATCCAACTGATGCAGCACAAAGAGATCTTCTTCTAAAAATATTAAACCCTTTTGCAGAGTTTTCCTCTCAGCTCCTGTGTGGTAGTGTGTGCGGCCCTATTTTCCAGAGGAGTAACTTTCAAAGTTGCCCAGACCCTGGAAAGTAACCCTGACAAATTTGCTGAATTAGTTTCATTTGCCCCAAACCCTGAACCTTCTTTCAAATCCTCCAAAAACTTATTTGACCTACTTCCACTACTTTCTAATCCAAAACCAAAACAAGCACTACCTTCAACCAACCTCTCTTCACCAATATCCAAATTACAGTCTCTAGAAAACTGACCCTCTTCAGCTTCTACTGGATAATGGAGCCAGCACCTACTAAGCCAGCACCTACTGAGCCAGCACCTACTGAGCCAGCACCTACTGAGCCAGCACCTACTGAGCCAGCACCTACTGAGCCAGCACCTACTGAGCCAGCACCTACTGAGCCAGCACCTACTGAGCCAGCACCTACTGAGCCAGCGCCTACTGAGCCAGCGCCTACTGAGCCAGCGCCTACTGAGCCAGCACCTACTGAGCCAGCACCTACTGAGCCAGCACCTACTGAGCCAGCACCTACTGAGCCAGCACCTACTGAGCCAGCAGAGGACGAGAAGGTTAAAAAGAAACGCAGAAAGCGCCGGGTGATAAATTATGAAGATGACAAGAAAGGAGATCCACTGCCCAAGAAGAAAAAAGGCAAAAAACATTAAAACCTTTCTTTGATTTCAAGTTCTCTGTATATTTCGTTATCACAACGTCTTTCTTGCTTACCTTAGTGTTCTCATTGCCACAATTCCTCCACTTGGTAAAAAAGTAATTCAGGCAGGGCGGGTGGGCATAACGTGCTGCCATTTGAGTCTGTGACCATTCACACATAACAGAAGTTTTTAGCATGAACTAGGTACATAGCAAGGACTATTTTGTTTACCTGAGTATGTAACATACTTCATGGACTATTCCTAAACATAACTATAGATAATTATACCTTTTTTGATAATTATCCAGAAGTTGGTTGAAATTCTAAATATGTTGAAGAAATTATCTAGGATGATTTTTAGAAAAATGTCTCCAGCAGTTGTCTTGCTAGGGCTTTGTAAAGTTGTTGCTGTCAGACTCATGTATGGGAACATATTTCTATATTGACACTGTTTCTGTCTTATAAAAGGATATGTCCTGTAACTTGGCACAAACTGATATTGTGTTCTTTTCTAACTTTTGTAAATTTTTTGTTTCATAATCCTCAAGGATGTCTGACTTATTACCCTATGAAAGCTATAAGGGTTCAGTACTGGAAAATTTTGTTTCCTCCCCTACTCCACAAATATGACAAAAAATTCCACTCCTCTCACCTGGTGAAGCAGTACTTGATATTCCGGAAGTATCAGTTAAGATCATAGGTCATCACTTTCAGGGAGTTGCCATGTATCACTTGCAAAACTGCATAAAGCTTAAATATGCAAATCTGAGCATTTTATGACAAAGGTTTTTTCAACCCACACTTAATGCAACACATTGACATTTTGATATATGATGGTATTAGCTTAACTTGTACCTGTTGCCAAATTTAGTGTCATTCTGCTCAAGGGTTTTTCTCTTATTGGCCTATTAAATCCTATAATACTTCCCTACAAAAAATATTGTTCAAGCCCCTCTTTGAGAAATATGACAGAGATCTCCCTTGCAATTGCATCCTGTATCTTTCTTCAACATCTGTTCTCATGCCAAGAGAGTTCCAAGCATTTTCCATCTTTATTTCGTAAGGCTTCAGTACTGACAACCCTTACCACTTATGACGTCATAACTCCTGATCCCTATCAAGGACTCGAATAATGCTTTTCCATATACTTTTAAATGCTGCTTTTCAGGTGTTTGCCAAATCTCATGCTCCTATCTACTATGGTTTGCGTTTGGTATAACTTTGCACTCTACAAGGCTTCAGTACTAAAACCCTCAAAGTTCATTACGTCATAGAACCCCACCGACACAATGGATTTTTAAAACTTGTTGGCGAGTGTTTTTGTAATGGATTTCTCTATATATTGACCAATAATGATGATGATGAAAGTCTGGCCAGTATAACCTCCTCCTATACATCGTCTACAAAGAAGAAACAGAAGAAATAATTACTTTGTGGACATTGAATAAAACCTTTAAGGCATTTAGAATTACTGCGCATAACATGTTACCGCTAAAAAGTGTTTTTTCTCCTTGCCTTTCTCCCTTAAGTAAAAAAAAAAGGGGGTTGGGAAGGTGGGTATAAAGTGATGCAAGTGGAGTCTTTGGTCATTCACACATTCCATTAGTATTTATCGTGAACTGGATACATAACAAGGAATATTCTGTGTCTTAAGTATGTAACATACTAAAATGACTTTTTCTAATGTTACTATAGATATAGTAGTAACTTTTTTGACCAAAATTTGATTCTCTCCCCAACCTGTTCAACAGGTAGAGGTCTATGAGTGTATGATGCATATGACATACTTTTTTGTTCCAGCTTATAGATTTCGCGCAAGGGCGTGGCAAAGTTTAAGTTGTAGGGCTTAAGTATGGGAACAAAACTTTACATTGTCATTGTTACAACACTATAAAAGCTATTCTAACATAAGTTGGCACAAAGTTGTATACTTACAGGATGTCAATTGTGTTAAATTTATGTGTCATTATTCCGAAGGATGTCGGAGTTATTCGCCTAACAATGCTATAAGGCTTCTGTATAGGGAAATTTTCTTCACTCTCCTGCTCCAGAGAGATGACACAGATCGAAATAATTACCACCTGATGTAGTAGTCCTCATTTGTCAGTTATCATCACAAAAGTTTATTTGCCATCACTCTCAAGGAGTTTTTGAAAATCTGTCCATCAGTTTTATAAGGCTTAAGTATGGAAAAATTTCTATTTTTCAGAAACGACTTTTTTTTCATTACAGAGTATCCAACGTATTGACATTGATGAGAGATGAATACATGCCAGAGATTTTTGGGGTACAGGTCACGGTGTGGCTGTGAGGGCAGGGCAAAGTTTCGGTTATAAGGCTTAAGTATAGGAACGTAATTTCAAAATGTCTTTGTTGCAATGTTATAAAAAGTATTCGGTTCAAACTTGGTAGAAAGTTGTAACTTTGTGATTTGATAGTCTGATACTTTTTTCGAGTCATTACTTACAAGGATGTCTAACATAAAGGCCTTTCAATGTTATGAGGGTTCAGTACAGAAATCGATCAAAGTTCATGACGTCATGAGTCCTCGCCGACAGTTCTGAATTCACTTTTTTTTTGTTGCAATACATTTTTCATCGCATTATGTATCTAATCTCTCAGTTTCAGTTTCGTATCTCTTCTACTTTCTGATTTACAAAAATCGTGACTAGTGTCAGCCATTATGGTCATTAGTCTGCCATTATGGAAATTAAGGTGTGTCGTTCGTTTTTGGCTTCTATCTTCTTCAATGTTTATCCAAACATATCAAATGTGTATATCATTAGAAAGAGCAGAATCTCCTCTATCTACTGATGTGAAATTTGGTACAATTTGTTTCTTATTGGAAAAGTTTCTCTAACTTTCTTTTATTGTGTCAAATTTTGTACAAAAGTATCATTTGCCATACAGGTACCGTCACAGAGAATGTTTACGAGCACCTGAAAAAACTTCCAGATTTCCTTGTACTAACAGTAACACGCCGGTCAGCATCCTTCATCAACAATATTATAATAAGCAATGTTTTCGCAAATCATCCATTGGCCCTCCTAGTTGCAGAGGATGAATCTCTATTACCTGTACACAAGGGCATGACTATAATGTTAACAAGAAATGTCAATAAAGCGATCGGCTTTGTTAATGGTCAACTAGTAACAGTACACAGTATATCCAACCAAACCATAATAGCTACTCACCCTAATGGACATACCATTAATATATTTCCCATGACCAGTCTCATTGATGATATTCCGGTAACAAAGTATCCTTGTCTACCTGGGTATGCTACAACTATTTCCAAAGTACAGGGCCAAACTTTGCCTAAAGTAGTATTGTGGCTAGATACTGACACTACACCAGCTGGCACCGCATATGTTGCCCTCTCAAGAGTACGCTCTTTAAATGACTTATACTTTCTTGTCCCCTTATCACCTTCACATTTCACTCCAGTTGCAGGGCAAGGTATTCATTTCACTACTATAAACTTACTGTCCACACTATCAAAAAAACAATCTTTCAACAGATTTCTCAACAATATTCACCACTTCCATAACTTAATGAGTATAATTATACTGATAACTATAATCTCATTTTTTCAGATGGCTTACACACCAACAAAAAAAATGAAGGGAGTAGGATACTTCCATCATTTTCCGAAAAACTTTTTGAAGCCTTATAGACGTGCAGAACCACACCCTTCACATAATGTGGCACTTTCCAGATTGAGACCAGAGGGCTGTGAATGGCTTCGCCAGCCGCATGTTGCCACTTCGGAACTCTCATCAACGGTTAATGACAATATGCCAGTGTTGATGCAAGATGACCAGTTGCTTGATGCTGAGAAAATACAAAAACTTACAAGAAATCTTGAGCCGTTGGCATTGCTCCTGCAGCAGCCCCAAATGACACCCAGGGTCGTAACCTCCTCCTTCAAATCCTAAATCCTTCGCAAGACCTATCCAACTAGCTTGATGCCTGTGTGGAGGTTGGAGCAGCTTTATTTTCCATTGGAATCAATTTGAAAGTTGCCCAAACCCTTATAACTAATCCTGAAAGCTATGCAGATCTCCTAACCTTTGCCCCAAATACAGAGCCCAAATTCAAATCTACTCGTAACATTTTAGATCTTCTCCCTTTATTATTCAATCCTAAGGCTACCCAAACAACCCCTACCCAATCCCACCTCTCTTCTCTCATATCAATCCTTCAAACAGCATCATCTTCTGCTCCACAACCAGCTCCATCACCATCACAAGCACCCTCGTCAACGACCACTCAGTCACTATCACATATTATAACAGCATTATCACCAACACCAACGCAAGCTACACTACCTGCAATCAACATCCCAACACCTCCTACAGCAAAATCTTCCTGCCCATCACATGATTCACCATTACCACAATTTCCACCTCAACTGAATCAACTGCAAATGGCTCAGTTATTACAAACCTATGCCAACTATCTTCAACCTCCGCCAACAACATCACCCTCCCTACAACAGTTCCCCAGAACCAACCTGCAACTCCTACTCCAAACAGTATTTCTACTGTACAGAGCAATGCCACAAACGAAAAAAAGAAAAAGCGACGAAAAAGACCAATGACGATAGAGGATGATGAAGAGACACACCATCAAAGTGAGGCTGAAATGAAAAAAGAAAAGAAGAAGAAAATCAAAACATTAAAATAGAAAACATTTTATACATAAACACGCTGTCATTACACTTATGATCTTTACATACAACCTTCCTAACATATGAAAAAGTTTTCTTTGTGTCATTCCTCCATTTAGTAACATATTGTCATTCGGGTGGGAGGGTGGTGATGAAGACCTGGCTATTGAGGCAGTAATCATCCCTGTGGTAACTTTTCTGACACCACTAGCTTAAAACTCGTAAAGACTAAGGGATCGATAAGCAATGCTTTCACAGTTTGTATTCATACTGAAAATCAATATCAAGTGAGCTTTTACCCTTTTGTTCTACATGAGATTTTCGTTCTGATTGAGATCACCTTAGGACACCTGCATTATCATTAAACAGATGTGAAGCCCCAGCCAAACTCCCGACCTGATTGGATTGCCCTGCTGAACGAGACCTTAATGCCAGAAAATGATGCACCGTTTTTTGAAAAAAGGCCCTTGAGCCCCCTACCATCCCCGTCAGCCAGCCATGAAGTTGCTTAAGCCCAATCTCCAGTGAGAAAGTCTTGCGAAATTTTGCTGCAAAATATTTCATGCGACAAATGCCTTTGAATGAATTTTATTGTCATCAAAAGTCAACACATTGTAAAATAGATTTTAAAATAGGTCACAAGACACATAAAACGACATTTTTTTTCTTTTTTGAGTTCACAGTATGAATCTACCTGAGTTCTTGTGGCTACAACTTAGGGCGAGATGCATAAAGAGTAGGAAATAATTTTGCCAGCAATCAGTTTTTCGATGAAGTTTCTTTGGTGAATTCGTAAGACCTATTTCAGTGACCCCATTAATTGAATTCTGTCAACAGTTTTTTGGCAGTACAGAACTTGAAAATGGCTTTGAAAAAAGGAAACATTTTACAACATATTTATATTTTACAACATGGTTAAAACGGCTGACAAAAGAATTTAGCCAATATTTTGTAAAATATATGCTTTTTTCAAAGCCATTAATTGAATTATGTGCTAAAACCTTCGAGCTTATGCAAAATTTTGTGAAGTAAATTTGGTCAATCCATCTTGATTGAACTTGCGACATTTTTATAATTTTAAAAGATCCTAGTTGTAGCTCACTTAAGCATGAAATAAATCTCAGTTAGATATTGTCAGTAAATGACAATTACATCATGTCTTGCTTATCCCTATTCTGTATTAGATCCAGAAATGGATGTTATGTTTTTTTGCTTTTGAGAGATACGTTTACTAGAGGGGCAGTTATTTTAAACTTTTTTTTCCTTGAACCAATCCAAAATAACAAAATTAATTTTGAAAAATAATCCTTAAATTAAACTTAATCAATTTCTGTTGATAGATTCTCTTCCATGTCTTTGTTGTTTGTGATACATTTTCCCGTGTAAATTCACCATATTGAGCTAATCAAAGGATAAATTATATGCTTGTCTGGTAACTACAAGAAGTTACATTATGATTTGCTGCCTTATCAAGGTTGTGGAGCTAGTCAGTTTTATATCCATTCATTTGCTTTGATTTAAGCATAAATTTTTGTAAGTAAAAATACAAACACAGCCATGTTACATGATTGCTATGTGATTTTTTTTATTAAAGTCGGATATAATGGGGGCACGGAAATGTTTTCGATTTCATTTATATCAAGGTAGTACATGGGAAACAACTGAACAGCCAACAATCAAATATGAATTTGCTATCGAAACACTGCAAGTAATTAGGTATAGATTTGGTATAGAGTTTTTAGAAAAGTTGATTTATTGCAAATTTAAAGCCCTTGAAAATCGAAAAATCTATTTTAATTTGCTGATTTGCGTGAAAGAAAATATAAGAAATCAGTGTGTAATTTAATGTAGAAAAAGATGTATCCAAAAAACGATTACTTAACTGCAACGTAAACAACAGTCAAGGTAATTTATAAAGGGATATTTTGCTTAGCTTAAAGATTGAAATTTCGAAAATCTCATTTATCACAAAAATTAATTTCGAATCAGCACTGTCAAAACTAGAGGACAACCCTCTATTGGTTTAATCTTTATTTATAGAAAACAGTCATGAAGCTCACCGCTGGATGTAAGGACGTAGCATGTAAACTTGCAAAAAAGGAAGCTAAAATGGAAATTGAATAGCTTGCTGAAGAGAAAAGGGTTGCTAAGCGAGAGGTGAGACAGGTAGAGAACATTGTCGCCGGTTACAAGGAGAGAATGCATTATGCAAGTGGTCTGCATTCGAGGGAGCTCTTGGATAACATTGGCAAGGCTCTCAACCACCAAGAGTATAATTTGCTATCTTTGGCCACCCAAGATAATCGTCTCCAGTCTAATATAGCTCTTTTAGAGCAAGGAGTTAGCCTAATAAATGAAAGTAAACTAAATTATGGGTTAATGATCAACAGTGGACCAAACGAAAACGTTTATGACTGCCTGTTTAAAGGCAGTGTTTGTGCTGTAAAGCATATAAAGAAGCCACGTTTGCTGCGGTATGCAAAGAATACCATATTTTAATGATCCTTAGCAGTCATCGTGCAGTGCCACATGCTTACGGTGTTGTGAGAGGCGAAGTACCAAAATTAGTACTCTCTTCTCACAAAATTGGCTTTGAGCGGCTGACTTCGGAAAGCTTCGAGACAGAAGAGAAATTCGGCAATTTTGCCATTGCTCTCGTGGAAGCAGTGTTATACTGTAAAACCAAGAACATTCTGCACAATAACCTTAATCCATCGAACATCCTTGTTGAGCAATCCTCTGGTAAAGCACTTCTATGTGGTTTCCGTTATGCTAGTTACGGAAACGATGGATACGTAGTAAGTGGATTGAGACTAGTCCAGCGCTTTGGCAATTTATGTCGACTTCCAGGAGAGGTAAAGAGAGGTGCGGCATCCCTTTCATTCAGCAGTGAGATTTACTGCATGGGCTTCACTCTTTTATGGGAGTGCCAATTGGGCAAAGAAGCAGTCGGTCCAATCGGCTACTCTGTGCATACCTTGGCTCAAGACTGCGTTAGCAAACCAAAACAACAACAGCCCACGGAACGTTCTATTAAAAGTTGTATCAAGAAGTTTAAGAGCATCATTGGCACATGAAATATTTTAATTCAAGGAAAGGTAGAAGAGAAGTCACAGAGTGTACTGAACTTCTAATCGAGACTCTAAAATAACTCAACAATCTACATTTAATTATCGATTTGACTTTAATCACTCAAAGGGTACCCTGATCTTCCAACCCCTAATTAAACTGCTTAAGGAACAAACTATCGAGCAGCTACCATTTTCATTGAACCCTTCTGTCCCATCCGTATATAAATAGCAGCAGCTATAAATAACTTCAACCATATCTTTTGAATGTTTTTTTTCAGGTTGCGTTCCAGAAACGATTTCCCCAGCCTTCATTTTCTTCAGCTACAGGTGGCCAAAAAATTTGCACCTTCTTTTCCTTTATACTCTCCCAAATCTCCTGCACTTTAGCTATAAGGAAAAATGGAAAGATATATAACATAGCATAAGATCTTCATTGATAAATTAGCATTTATCTTCACAACATAATCATTTTCATTGATAAATAAGCTTTAAATAACATAAAGCTTAAAGTATTGTTGCTTTCTAAATTTCTCATTTGTAAGATATTCTGCAAAGAAATCTGCAAAAGTTGTCGATGTAATTCCAAAGGAAGTTTTAGTTCAACAATGCTGAAACTGCAGTTAGTGAACGTGGATCATTGCATGAAGATATTCAAGTTAATGGCATCGCGTTGGGCCAACATCAGGATAAATTGTCAAATACGCTGTTTTGACTTAAGGTGGATCATACGGAGTTACTTAAACTTTTTATACAGAGGCGTCACATCAACAAACAATTGTAGAAAATGGCCTGAATGACTTTTGAATAAGACCTTGTCCTTAACTCAGCCATAAAAATTATTAAAAACTTCTACATAAGGAAGTTCACTTTCAATTCTACCTGATGTTATATCAATCCTCCTTATCTTAAGATAAATTTGATAAACAATCTATCTAAAATTACTTCTATCATTGAACACAGATGTCACATGGCCCTAAGAAAGAGGTTATATAACATTATTTATGCTTCTTTGTTTGAGTATGCTTTGACAATCTAAATCTTCTAAAAATTATTATGAATGGGAGTATCACCACATGCACCTTTGCTCTTTTTCCCATTTATATTATTGATTATAATTCCATCTTTCCATACTGCGCACCTGACTGCAAAATTTTACAAGAACTACAATTTACAAATATTGTTTTAATGTATTTCCTTGATTTTTATACATGCTGTATCATGATCCTTTTAATGATAGTGGTTTATTATTTTGCTAAACAAGAATAGGAAACCTTTTCAAATTAACTTTACCAAATAATGTGCAAAAACATTGCCAAATTGTATCCTCTACCGGAACCTTTACAGGAAAAGATGCCTTGAAATGGATTCAATAATCATCGTAGAGACAATAATGATTTTATAGTGGAAAGGCATATTAAATATCACCGTTTCTAAAATGTAAAAGGAATACATAGCGATAAACTAAAGCAGACATAAATTATTTTTTAACAAATTTTTTTGCGGTACAGAATTTGAAAATGGCTTTGAAAAAAGCAAACATTATTCAACACACTAAAATCTTTTTCGTCAGACACTCCTCAGAGCATAAAACGTCAGAACCAGGGTCCGAAAGACCACACCATGAAAATAAATACCCAGTTGTGGATCGAAATAGGCCAATCAAAAAATGCAAGCAAAAGAGCGATATAGTTGACCAATCAGTGCCACGAGCCTAAAGAAAAATTACCACTGGAGTGCTAGAGAGAAAACAAACTCCTTCTGTCTAGAAAATGGAAGTTTTTTCGTTTCTATTTAGATCCAATTAAAAACTGCTGGATTAAAGGGTGACCGAGCTCTGCCAATTATCCCAAACATGTCATCATTATAGAGTTTTGCACAATCTGGGTTGTCTAAAAGATGTTGACCGATGGCAGAATCACTTGTTTTAACAGTGTTTCTAGACCTATAAGATTTTTGTGACAATGTTCATGAAAAGAACTCTAAGATTCTGAAAAGGTTTTAAATTTAATAAAATAAACAAATATCCTATCTAGCTTGATTTTGTGAACTGGTATCAGAAAAACAATGGTTGAAATTAACCATTCCACCTCTAATCAAATGAAAGTAAAAGTTTGACTTTCCAAGAATTGAAAATTAAAATAGATTAAGAATTGAAATTTAAGAATTGAAAATTTAGAATATTTAATGATTTTTATGATAAAGACAAATATACCTTTCAAAAATGCTTCAACCAGGGCTAATATCTTCTTCCCTGTTTCTAAACCATCTTTAATGGATCCCTCACCGATGAAACTTGATGCATCACCCTCTGTTGCAAAAGAAGTAAAGTCACTTTTATAAACTTTGAACCCTGGACGGGGCTATGCAGAATTCAGAGAGAAAACATCCTTTTTCATATCAACAAAACTTTAATATATAATAATAACTGAAATCACTTTTACATGATCGCGTGTTCTTATCTCTCTACTCAATACTCCAATATAATATGATTTATTGCTGACGTGCTGAGTTGTAATTCACTGCGCACGCTGCTAAGCAGTACCATTTGACGCAAACCTTACTTTACAACAGTCACAGACCTTTGCAACATTCCCTGTTTTCGCTTTCCTTTCATGACATAAGGAGTAAATGATGATGATACCGTGTTACAGTTTCTTTTTAGAGTATTAGCCTGGTAAATAAGTCTTGCATTGAATATGTTATGAAGTGTGAATCTATATTCAAACGAAAAACTGTCTCAAAAATTTGATAATAGCATAACATCATACATCTTACATATTTTTTCATGTATCCTTAAAGTCTTGTCCTGTTTCTGGATTTCAAATGTTCATTTTATGTGACCCTTTCACTCAAAACTGCTCATTACCAGAACCATATTTCTTCTTAGCAATTTGTTGCTCTGATCCACCTCCATTGCACATCTGAAATGGTAAGAGGTTACATTAGATGGTTAGTTTTTTTTGAAAAGTCTGATTTGATTTGGTGTGTTTGTGCTAGCTTTTGGTCTGTTATCATTTTGACATATTTTGAAATAAAAGGGCTACAGATGATATAATCTTAAAGAAAGTCAGTAAATCAATCAACTTGTGAGAAACTTTTTCAGCATAATTCTGGGTTTTATTATATTCATAACTAGAAAAGGCACAATGTATGGAACAACAATAAAGCCAGCAATGCTGGTGCAATGCTGAATATACCGAATGTAATTCAAACAGAAACATACCATGAAATCTGTCAAAATGAGATACACTGATTTTTTCACAAATGAAATGCCATCATCCCTTACTATAAACAGCTCAAAATACCAAAATCCTGCTATTACAAATTTAATGAAAATCTACCTTCTGAGAACATCCCTTCACTACCTAGAAGAAAAGTTTTGTTGTCATTGTTATTTTTCATGTCATTGGTAAAAAACTGTTGCTTCAAGTCAGCGTGTGCAGTTATTGTCCATGACGGCAAAAATATATTTCTAAAAGGCATGTTTAAGACTGGTGAACCAAAATCTACTGGATGGTAAGAATTGAACAATGAAGGGAGAAGGGTCACAAAACAAAACCATCTAAAGCCAGGAGTCAGGTAGAAATTGACTACAAAATGAATTTGTTTGCTATCATATCTTATATTCGAGAGAGAACTTTTTATATTTAAAAAAAAGTGGCCAGATTGCATTGTGACTATGAATTTCTTTAAAACGTGTTTTGTTTAACCATGGAATAACTTCTCCATTGTTTTTTGTTCTTCATCTAGATCAAAGAGTGTTTCAAGCAATAATTATGATGTAGACGTGATTCTCGAACCTCCCAAACAAATTTTATGGAATTTATGGTGACGTTAAATCGAACAAAGAAAGGAAAAGAACCATGACTGTGGAGATAATGACTTAATCTATGAAGATTAGCTGTTGCGAATAAATTGTATTTTGTTAATTTGTTGTTGGAGTAAGAATACTTTCTGATGCACGAAACTTTTGCTCTTTTCTATCTTCCAATTTCTCAAGTGCTTTGTTGCTGCAGTCTTTCAGATGAAGATACGATACCTGGGCCTCAAATGAAAGAGCTGTGTAATTATTTTTATTCTTTGGGGTTTAGATCTGGAGGAGTCACCTATTCAAGATTTGACATACTTTTAAGGGTTTTGTTGTCTGAAAAGTTTTCAGCTGATGTGTGAACAAACACCACAGACATACTAAGGGCTAACAGAATTTGTTGTTGGAAAATTTTAACATTTGATTCAGAATAAACAGGGGAGTTTTGTGGAAGCCTACAATTGTGTTTACACCAGATTCATGAGTCAATGAGGACTGAAGGAAGTTCTATAATTGATGTTGGATTCACATTAAGCACGAGAGGTCTAAGAAAAGGCCTAGAAAATATTTGTGCAAAACCCATTTGTCGATGTGAATCAAATTTGTATGGCTAGAAAATTTCAAATTTTGATTCTTTAAATATAAGAACTCCTGGGAGAAATCTTCTGAAAATGTGTGAAAGAGGTAAATGAACTGGTGGGGGCAACCAAAAACATGTTGCTGTCAAGCTTAAAAGTAGAGTTCAGAAAAGTAGAGCTTTCAGATAAGCCTTTAGAAAATTGAAAGAGCCTCAAGAGTCGTTGAGGGATAGATGTAATAATTATATGGACAATTTAAACACTGAAATTAGAATAAACAAGAAACTTAGGTATCTAGACATTAAACCATTAAAATATCTAGACAAGGAACACAAATAGACCTGGGCTTGCAAATGTTTTGAAGCAATTTTCAATTAACGGAAGACTAGCTTCCCTGCTAAGCCCGCTATGCGGGCTTGCCAGTGACCCTATGCAGACCTGCCAAGTTTGGTGGGTGCAAAACCTTGAGATTTCTTAAAAATTTCTTTAAAAACCTTGAGTTTTGTAGAAAAACCTTGAGAAAAGTCAAACAACTTTTTTAATGATTTTATAAACACAAAAAGGTCTTAATACGGGTTCAATCACATCATAAAAAGTTAAAAGAACTAAAAAGAAACATGAATTCCAAATGAAAAGTAGGCTATCTATTTGTGTTCTTCATTGTATTTGTTGGTTGCTTTTTTGGAACTTTCCAAGACTTCTTCTGTGGGTTTCCAGCTATAACAGGGCGTGTTGGACTCGGGATACAGTGTTTTAATCGCTAAGATACTCGACAATGTCCCTCCCAGTTTCATCGATGACCTTTCTAACGATTTGTTTTTCTTCACAATGCTGAAAAGTCTTTCCAATTCAGCATTACTGTGAAGGATGATCAAGTTGATTTCAGCTAGCTTTGACAGAAACTTGAGGCGCTTGGCATTTGAGCCCGTAATTTTCATATCTGCAATATAGCTCCACAAAACATCAATTCTAAAATGAAATGAAATTTCACCATCCATTTCTTTCTTCACTCCTTCAGAAACACGTGCCTCTTCCCAGGCTCTCTCTTCAAAATCATTATCATTTAGTGTCTGGTAGTCTGTAAACTCTTCATATAATTCATCAGCTGAAATAGCTGACATTAAGTTAGGATACAAATCAAAAAAGTATTGAACTTGGGCCCATTTTGAGTTAATGCGATCTGGAACATTTACCCATACAGCATTGCAAATCAACGGATTATTCAACGGAAATTTTTTTTTCATATACTGAAGAGACAACTTGAAATAGTAATGCACAGCATCATGAAGGTCTTTATATTGTTGTTCAGATATATCACCTTCATCTAATAATTTCTTCAATGTTCTTTTTGTCAGTACTCCAAGATAGATATCTTCAGTTTCAATGAAATTTTCAGAGTCATTTAAATCTATTTCAGAAACATTAGTGATACACTTGACTTTGCTTGGGTGCATAATACGTTTAGCCAGCTTTTTCCCAAGGCTTTCTATAGCAGGTTTCAGAATATAAATTGTGGGTTCCTCTCTCTGCAGAAGTTGATTGAAATGTGTAAAGAGTGGTAATGCAGAACTGAGGAAGAGCATGGCTGGTTCCAATAGATGATTTCTAAATTTTTTATTCAGGCGTTGAAATCTTTCATCAGGGAAGTTCTCACTTAGGAAGTAAGATTTGAGGCTAGTGTATTTCAAAGTTGCTCTTGATATGCATATTTCTAAAGATAACCACCTAACAGATAAATGCTTTAAAAGACCTTGGTATTCTTGATCACAAGACTCATAATATTCTTTAAGTTTACCCTTCCGCTTGGCGTTTTTTTGAACCAATAGAATAAGTCTACCATGAAATTTTCTATGTTGAGCCCAATATATTCACTAAATGCATCATGGGAATTACTTGCAGCTATGTGCGCAAGATGACATGGACAGCCTGCAATAAAAACATTTTGACTCTTTTCCAGAAATCTTGAAGCAATGGAATTGTTTTTCCCAATCATAGTATTTGTGTTGTCCACGCTCAAGCTTACACAATTTTCCCAAGGAATTCGATTGTTCTCAAAAACTTCCTCAATAGCAGTAAATATACCTTCTGCAGTGGCACTGCCCACACCTGATGTTACACACATGTCCAAAAAATGCGTTGTCACTGTTCTGGACCTATTAACATCAAAAATCTTGACACAAATGGGATTCATCTTCTCTATACCTGTGTCATTTGAGCCATCTGTGCCCACTGAGTATGGATGAACTTTGCAATGTTCTTCTATATAATTCAGACAGTGTGGTGCAAGTGATTTATTCAGAATAGCTGTGGTTTTTGTTCTACGTGCAGCATATTTTTTAGCTATCTTGCTATCTGGAAAAACTTCCTTGAACAGTGAAGAAAGATGATCAGCAGTTAACAAAGAAATGTTGTGTTGAACCAAAAAGTTTGTCATCATGACCTCTGCATTTAATACTTGCTCATCAAATTTCGAATCGTTACTTTTCAAGAAGCCCTTCATTGAAGATTGGCTTTTTGAAGATTCAACATTAGCTTTATGCGAGTCCTTTTTACAATGGTCTGAAACATCCTTTACTCCTTGATGATCGCAAGACAACTTCTTACCACAAGGAATGCAGTAAAATTTATAAGGATCACCTGAAACTGCTCGAACAGGGTATTCTTCGGTCCAACTTTGACTAAATTTGCTCTTGTAGAACTTTCGCTTTGTTGCCATGTTTTCTTAGACTTATAACATGAGTCCCCTTTGTTTCCCGCTGCCACCTTAACATTCAATTCAATGAAAACGCTTCACGAGAGCACAGGGGCACAAACCGCAGATGAGAAGAAAAACAATATCGCAGAACAGTTCTGTGAGCTAAAGATGCAGATACACTAGCATTTGTTTGTTAAAGATGGCAAATTGGGAGAAACTTTTTGATTTTTTTGATTTATGAATTTACCGTGAGAATTTCCTGACCAACCGTGAGATTGTGGGCTTTCTTTAAAAACCATGGGTCCCAAGGCAAAACCGTGGTACTTGGCAGGTCTGCCCTATGGCAGGGTACAGATTTGCCTCAGAAGAGACAAGAGGTGTAATAACCTTGATTTTGAAACAAATTGGCTCTGCACAGGTCAGGTGAAAAAAAATTGCTTGCACTTTTGTGCGCAATAAATTCCCACTCCTGTGACTATCCCAAGGAAGGGGGTCGCCTTGAGAAGAAAGGGGGTAAAGACTAACTTTTTATTTAACATTTATTATTTCATGTAGGGGGAAACTTGTAAAAACAACAGCCTTGGGAAAAATAAAGCCTTGGGAAGTTCTGAAAATTAGGCTATTGGAATGGCCCCTTCTCCAATAGTTGGATTTTCACAACTGAAATTTGTACTGCTCGTTATTTTTGCATGGGGTTTAGCAATGCTCCTTTCTTGGGTTTTGAAAAATCAATGGCAGATGCAGGGGTAGGTGTTACATGTTTTTGGCTGCATTCCAAGAGCATGACATTGTGGTGTACTGCAGCCTCAAGCTTGAACAAGAGTGCAGCCAAATGGCTACATGCAGACCCTAAGCCAGCCATACAGGTGCAGTTTCCAGTAAGGACCCACCCAAATTTCTTGTTCGAACACATCCAAACTTTTTACAAAGTGGTCTTCTCTCCTATGCGTTGGTTTGGCAGTATCTAAATCAGAAAGCGAAGTTTTAGTCAATTGAAAATTAAGCTTCAAGCTTTCAAAGTGATAATGGAAAGCTTTAGTTCAGCCTTTTTTGTTGCTGTGAAGGAAATCTGTTTGTCATGGCAAATATCCATGGCAAATATTTTCTAGTTTAAAGCTGATTACTGGAGTTTGTACTACCTGTTCTTTACATACAAATGCTATGTTTTGTATGAGAAATGACTCTAGGGTCTGTTGGGGTAAAATGGGTAACCGGGGTAAAATGGGTAAAATGAAATATTGCATAATTAATTCCATGTGGCCTCTCTTGCATGCTTAATTTATGCATGATTTGGTAAAGAGGTCTTGTACCAAGGTAACAATGGTGGCACTTCCTTCGCACATGACTCAAGAAGTTTTTCTTCGAAAATTCCATGCCGATGTGATCATTCAAGATTTTGCACTCGAAAATAAACTTTTAACTGGTGCAGTGAATACTGCAGGTAATGGCTATAATTATCATTTAAAACTTTCAATAAGACCTCATTTTTCAACTGAATAATGTTTTTTTGCTTGGTGATTTGTAGAATGATTTTGTGAACAAAATAATTTTGCTGGGGTAAAATGGGTGATATGTGGCCATTTTGTTTTTAGGCCCAAACACTAAAATGCCACGAACATACGTAAGGAAAAAAGAAAAAAAAAACACTGAAGAACAACTCAGACAAGCAATTGAAAAAGTAAACGAAGGACAGAAAGTTCATCAAGCAGCAAAGGAATTTGGCATCCCAACTGAGACCTTGAGAAGGTGGATTGTAAAGCCAAATCAAGCCCGATTTGGAAGTGGAAGGACAACTGTTCTTTCCAATGAAGAAGAAGAACTTATTGTGGTTGGCCTTCAGCAATGTGCAAGGAGTGGGTGGCCATGTGATGGTAAAGACATTCAAACCATTGTCAAATCATTTTTGGATAGTATGGGTAAGGTGACCCGTTTTAAAGACAATCTACCAGGAGAAGACTGGCTTATTTTATTCCGCAAACGATGGAAAGATCAACTGACGATCAGAAAACCTGAAATTTTGACGAAAAGTAGGGCAGAAGGTTTAACACATGAAACTGTTGATGCATTCTTTAAGCTTTTTCAAGAAACACTTGAGCAGAATTATATGAGTGATGCCCTAGACTTGGCAGAACGTCTCCATAATTGCGATGAGGCAGGACTGGCAACAAATCCTGTTTCAAAGAAAGTTTTTATTCCGAAGACTGAGAAAAATGCATACTTTCGTGCACCTAGTGCAGGAAAAACAAGCTATAGTGTGTTGTTTTGTATCTCTGCAAAAGGACACCTTTGCCCTCCTTTTGTTGTCTATAAAGCAAAGAATTTGTACCAAACTTGGACATCAGGAGGGCCTCAAGGTGCCAGCTATGCTGTAACCAACAGTGGTTGGATGGAGGACTATGTCTTTGAAGAGTGGTTTTTGAAGCATTACGTCCCTTGGGCTGGATCCTTCAGGAAACCATGTATTCTTTTTATGGATGGACATGGCAGCCATCTTACATACAAAGTGGTAAAGACAGCAAAAGAAAACGAAATAGTCATCCTCTGCTTGCCACCAAACACAAGTCATGCCCTCCAGCCTTGTGATGTTTCTCTTTTTAGACCCCTTAAGGCTGCATGGAAAGACATTCTAAAGTTGTGGTTCAGAGAAACAAGATTGAAGGCAGTAGATAAGGCTGTGTTTCCTTCATTGCTTAGCAAGCTTTGGCTTAAGGTAAAGGCAGAAAATGCTGTTGCGGGATTTGTAGGTAGTGGTCTATATCCAATAAACCCGCAAAAGGTGAAGCCACGCATTGTTGAATGTAATGCACCTATCCAGCCAGGAAATGCTGAGTCACACAGAAAGTTGCTGAGACAAGCAATAATAAATGCTGTAACACCATCTCCATCTGATTCCACAAAAAGTGCAATGGCCAATTCACATAGGAAACGAAAGCGAGTCCAAGCAAAGGCAGGAGAAGTGCTGACAGATGATGAAGTAGTAGAACGATTAAGAAAAGAAGAAATTGCAAGGAAACAAAGAAAGCATCAGCACAGAAAGCACCAAAAAAGAAAGGGACAGAAAGTTTTCAGGTTATTGCCTCCACCAGTTGTGCATCGACACCAAAGCTTCCAAAAAGAGAAATCAAGGAGAGAAATGCAAAACGAAGTAAACTTGTGTTTCATGATGACAACTCAGATTCAGATTGTGTTGAATTAGAAAATGAGGCAATTGATGAAAATGACAGTGAAGATGAAAATTCTGTTCCATGTCTAATATGTGGAAAGCTGTATGGGCAAGAGTCATACAAGTTTAGACCCCCCTGGGCATCTTGTGACAAATGTGGCAAATGGACATGTATGAAATGTTTGCCAGAGGACTTTGATGTAGAGGACAGTTTTTTATGCTGCTTTTGTTAGATTTCTACCATGTTGGGTTTAAAGTCAAGTAAAACAATGCTTTGTAAACTTCTCTCTGTTTTATGTGCATGTTTCTATTAGAAAAAGTTGTTACCCATTTTACCCCGTGACCAGGGTAAAATGGGCAAGGAAAATGCACCCGACAATCAAGGTATCTGGTAACTACCTAGATAGTGCTGAAGAAATGCATATCCATTTTCTATTTAAAAATGCCTTAAGTGTTATTTATGCAAACTTTTAAGGTAATGCAAAGTAAAACAAAAAATCTATGGAGAATTTGTTTTGAAAATAGCCCGAAAATTACCCGTTTTACCCCAACAGACCCTATACACTTTTCCTATAGAAATATACATCCAGGACAATCAGATTGAAGTTGAAAGGCATAATTTTCCCTGTTGCCCTCATACAATGACAGCAGCAAGGGGTAATAAGGCTGGTTATTCACTACCCTGTTCATAAAATAAAATATAATACAAATTCAACTTACCTCCAATTTGATAAAACAAAACTCGCTGTCATTTGTAATTGCAGTCATGCACATGATTGCATATGAAGTAGTTGTAAGCTTCTAGGGACTTTTAGTGTACTCTTTTGAAAATTTGCTTGCAGTGTTGATTAGGTACTTGCTCACATCTCTCGAATACAAATCTGGGAAAAAATGTGATGTCGTTGATCAAGCGGCTATTCATTGCGAAAGGATCCGGGAGCTGTATAATGTATAATATACACCAGTTTCAAGACATAACTTTCATTAATAGTTATTTCTGTCCTCTGGCTCGTGGCTTATTAAATATACAGAATCCAAGTTACGATAAATTTTTCACTGAACTGAAGCTAATTGGAAAACACAGTTCTTTATATAGGCCTGACGCTAGCAGGTTCAAAACAACACCAGCTGTGAGGATTTTAGTTAAATGGTGTTCACTTGTAATTAACACGTTTGCAAACTCAGAATAAGGGTTTCTGAAACATGATCAGTTGTGTTGTGCTCTACCTTTTTCACAGTGTGCTAAATTCTATTGTTCTTTTTCTGTTGACACAGATCCCCGCCCAGTTTGTTTACATTTCCTTATGATGTTAATTGGCATGCCGTCTATTGGTTTAAGTGTAGAAATGAAAGTCTCTGAAAGTCTTGTTTGCATGTCAGGTTTTATACCATTGTGCTTAAGGAGTTACCAGCTACAACTGTTTTAATTTGGCTTCAGTATCGAAAATGGTTTAATTTGCTGTCATTCCTTTCTGATGCTAAGAGTCAACTGCAACTTATTTAAAAACGCAAAATCATACCCTACAAGAATAAAAGGTGCGTCTCATTTTCCTCAAGGAGTTTCAATTTTCACTCATTTTTTATCTATAAGGATCCAGTATAGAAACTGACCAAATGACAGAACAAGCAAGTCAGGAATTCCAACTTTCTGTCAATTAACAATGTTGTAGTAGTCCACAAAGATAGCAAGTTTCACGTTTTTCGTTTGAAACACGTTTATTCTATCTCTAGTTATATACAAGATAGATACCAGATATGTTGTAAAATTCAGGTGCCATTATTCCTTGTTTCAAAATTTCTACATAAAATTAAACATATCCTCTTAATCAGAATTTAGAGTTTTATTTTTACTGCAAATTTCATTCAATTTTAACAGGCAGTTCAAAAGTTACATTTTTCATGACAATATCAGCCATTTTTAAAATTTCTGCTATCTTTAAAAACAAAGCCTGACAGATCTATGGGCAGTTTTTTGTCTCTAACTCACTCTTTTTTGGTCTAGAGATAAATAGACTATACATCATTGGAAAGAGCGTTCAATAATCTATCATCTCGTGTATATAGTGCCTTTATTCAATGCAACGTGTCAAATTTCTTGCCTGTTGTGCTCTAAAGTCAGTAAGAAGACTTTTCGTGACAAAATCCGCCATTTTGAAAATGTCTGCCATCCTTAAGAACAAAGCGTGACAGATAATGGGACAGTTTTTTGCCTCTAATAGACCAGGCGGTGAAAGGGGGGCATTGTCCCCTAAAGGCAAAATTTATGAGACTGTCCAACTTTTGTCAATTTTAGGGTACTGACTACGAATATCAATGTTATACGGGCAATATCCGGGAATTTCAGCCTCATTTTGGTGATTAAAATCTTATTTGCGAATATTTGGAAAACAGCAGCTCAATACATAGCTAAGCGCACTGCAATGAATAAATATAGAGTCCTACAGTGCAAATAAAGCTATAATATATCTAAACACATCCAAGGAGCTATTTTGTACTCATTTAGGCTCATTTCAAGCATCATAACCTCGTTTCAATGTCAACTCCGTGAGTTGCCTGCAGAGGAAATATCTAAATTTGGTAGCAAAATTTAGAACATCAATTTGTCAAGGTCTTAGATGGGAGAGCCTTTCATTAAAATAAGTTAACAATTGAGAAACCTAGATCTTCCAAGTATTCCAAGCCTAAATCTTCTACGCTGAACTGAACTTTCAACACACACACACATAAATATATATACATAGTAATGATAGGTTTGATAGACAGAAGTTAGGCACCGCTATAGGCACTAAGTTCGCTCTAGCCTATGCAAATCTCTTTATGACTGGGTTGGAAGAAAGGTTGTTGAAGGAATCGGTGGACACACCCATTGTCTAGATGAGATTCATCGATGATGTTTTCTTCATCCGGACTCATGGCGAGGAAAAGCTTGAGACCTTCATCAACTTTCTTAACAGTAGCCACAATACACTTTAATAAGTTTACAGGGGGGCACTCCAGGAAGAGTATATGTTTTCTAGGCGTTAAGGTTAGTGTAAGGGAGGGGGGAGTCCTAACGACAGACTTGTTTTGTGAACCTACTGATACACATCGGTATTTACATAAGAATTCTTGTCACCCATGGCACACCAAGAAGGCGATACCCTATAGTCAGGCTTTGAGGATACGTGGGATTTGTTCGGATGATCACCAGTTACAGGATAGGTTAAGGGATTTGGCTGGATGTTTAAAGGCAAGGGGGTATGAGGAATCACTTATAACAAAACAAATAGATAAGGCACGTAAGCAGGATAGGGTCACATTACTGGATAAGGCTAATGGCAAACAAGATCACAATGGGAGTGGGCGGGTTCTGTTGGTTACCACTTACCATCCAGCCTTGAATAATTTGGGCAAGGTGGCCGGGAGACTCCATTCTATGCCGACGATATCAGAAGAGCATGGGAAGGTGTTTCCTCAGACACCTTTGATATCATTTAAATGATGTAAGAACCTTAAAGATTTACTAGTTAGGGCGAAACTTTATAATGAGGGGGCAGGGACCAACCATAATAGGGGTTGTATTCCATGTGGCAAGTCTTGATGTCAAGTGTGTAATTTTATGTGTGACAGTGATACTTTTACTTCCCATATAACTGATAAGGAATATAAGATAAATTTTCTGTTTAACTGTGATTCGTCCAATGTTGTGTATCTTATGGAATGTAAAGTATGTGGTGTACAGTATGTGGGTAGCACTTGCACGCCGTTTAGGCTTAGGTTTAACAACTACAAGGCGTGTAATCGTAAGTTTATCGTGGGCTCTTCGGGTATACCTCAGGCTGATTTTTTCCGGCATTTTGCAGGGAAGGATCATCATGGGTCTCTCGAAGATATTAAAGTAACTATTAAAGATAGACTTAATGGGAATGGTAGGATACATCAAAGTTTCTGGCAGTATAAATTAGAAACTTTCGCGCCCCAGGGCCTTAATATTAGGTTAGTTGAAACAATTTTTTCTTTTTACAGCTTTTTATTATTTCCACATAATGTTTTTTTCTAATCTTCATGGTAGGGACAGACAGCATTCACCGTTTCTCGTTTTTGTGCATTCCTGGGTAGTTAACCATCTGCCTTCACGCTTCTCTTTTGTTCTTTTATCTATTGTATTTATTCCGCTTTCTCACCTTAAGCTGGGCCTAGAAAGTTTTCTTGTGTAGTATAATTAGCCATTATTGTCCTTGCTTGTAAAATGTGTTATTTTGTTCTATTGTTTTGTATTCCTTATTTTACACTCCAGATGTAAGTGAAGGTTATTCTGAAGAAGCATATTGCGAAACGTTAATCAATTTGTTTTTTTACTGATCATCTATTTAAAATTTTTAAAAAACATTACAGTCTAGAATATATATATAACTATATATAAACCAACCAGCCTGCCGGCTAATCAACCCCACCAAGTCTGAGATAGGCAAAATCAGCAAGACGATACTCGATCGAATCAACCACAAAATCACCAATTCGCACAAATTCAATCAATGGAAGAACACAACATCGGTAATCGAATGGTTTAAAGCCACCGAAAGCAAACACAACAACACCTTCATCAGCTTCGATGTTGTAGACTTCTACCCTTCAATCAGCCAAGAACTCCTAAACAGAGCACTCGACTTCGCCTCAGACTACGACAATATCACAACTGACGAACGTAACATCATCATTCATGCCAAAAACTCCATCCTTGTTCACAAAAATCAACCATGGAAAAAGAAAAATAACACCACGTTTGATGTTACAATGGGCAGCTACGACGGTGCTGAAACATGCGAGTTGGTTGGAAGCTTTCTGCTGTCACAACTACAACACCTCGACATCAATGTTGGACTATACCGAGACGACGGACTAGCCATTTCAAATTCACCACCAAGAGTCACCGAAAATATCAAAAAGAAAATATGTCAAATTTTTAGCCACAACGGACTACGCATCACGATAGAAGCCAACAAACAGATCATCAACTTCCTAGACGTCACCCTCAACCTGAAAAAAGGTACCTTCCAGCCATACACAAAGCCTGACACCATCCTTCAATATGTCCACCGCGAGAGCAACCACCCAATAACCACAGCAAAACATATACCAATCGGCATCAACAAACGTCTGTCATCACTTTCCTCTGACAAAGCATCATTCGACCAAGCCACGCCACCATACCAAAAAGCACTCAACGAAAGCGGATACAAATACACCCTACACTACGAACCAACTTCGAATACCACAAGAAAAAACAGAAAACGGAGTAACATACTTTGGTATAACCCCCCATTCAGCAAAAACGTCAGCACCAACATCGGACACAGATTCCTCAACCTCATTGACAAACATTTCCACAAAGACCACAAACTCAGAAAAATCTTCAACCGCAACACATTAAAGATCAGCTACAGCTGCATGAACAACATCAAGCAAGCCATTGACAGTCACAACAAACGCATCCTAAAGTCACACGACACCAGCACCACCCCGGAAAATACCAATGTCAACAAAACATGCAACTGCCGACAAGCGAACACATGTCCACTCAACGGGAACTGCCTACAATCATCAGTCATTTACCAAGCCACCGTCACACGCAGAGACAATGAAACTACAGAAACATACATCGGACTTACAGAAAACGAATTCAAGACAAGATACAGAAGTCACACCGCATCTTTCCGTCACGCAAAACACAGAAATTCCACAGAACTCAGTAAATACATCTGGACCCTAAAAGACAATAAAATCGACCACTCCATTTCCTGGCGCATCCTCTCAATAAAGCCATCCTACAGCAGCTCAAACAAAAGATGCAGCCTTTGTCTTAAAGAAAAGACCCTCATTATCTGCCACCCCGAATTATCAACACTCAACAAATGAAACGAACTCGTATCTTCTTGCCGCCATAGAAACAAAACACTATTATGTAACACCTAAATCCCTCTATGTACCGCCCCTAATTTACCTTTTGTATAACCTTACACATTATGTAACACCTTCTGTACCGTATTATCTATTTATTCGAGGAATATTCCAGTATATCAACATCTCCTGAAGAGTGAGTTACTCACGAAAGAGAGCTTGTAGAGATAGGCCATGTAGTTTCGCTTTCTTCAATCTATGATATATATATATATATTTTGCTCAGATAACTTTGTCTTTGCTGCCATTTGCCTCGTCTTCTTTACTCAGTTTCCTTTTCAGCAATGCTTTTGCATAATAAACTTCTGGTAGCATGCTCGATGATAGTAATAGTCTTTTCTGTTGCAGTTTTCAGGAACTTTGTTGCATTGAGCATTGACCTAAATTCTCCATACTCCATTGGCCAAACAGAATCATGAATATGACAACAAACGTGTCTCGCAGCCAGATTTAGGCCTATTTTGGACGTTTTTACCACTACCCACAAAAAATAAACGTGTAAAATGTGCTGAAAGATAACCTAATTTTTTTTCAAAAATTGAATCTTTAATAAATTTATGAAAAAACTGACGTTGTACTCAGTCAAAATTCTTCCGCGATCGTCAGTTACAAAGGCTTGAAACTGTCCTTTTCAAACCCTTACATTAACTAGGAGGGAGGGATAACATAAAAATTACATTTTTAATCTTTAAAAGTTGTTTTATCCACTTAATTAACAAATATGAACTTACCTTTACAAGCCACTGTTAAAATCATTTCTTTTCGGCATTGATGCTTGTGTCACTGATGGAAAAAATCGCTAAATTTCACGGAGAGAAAACGCAGCCCATCTTTCTCTCAAAATAACTACATTTGTGCAATTTCTTTTGCGCTCAGGTACTTTATATCTGCATTTTAAAGGCTTGAAGATCGATGAGAAGCTCACTCCCACCGATGTTCACTGCTACGGCCTTGTAAAAGCTGACGCCACTCATCAACGATGAAACGTAACGAATGCTTATTGTGCTCCAAAGTCAGTAAGTAGCATCATTTTCACCTTTACCCTATGTTCAAGCTCTAGGTCGTCCCATCTCTGTTCTCCCTCCACAGAGGGAAGATTTTGGTGCTTGATTAGCTGTCTATCAACGAATTACTTACCTTTTTCTTTAGAAATGTCCCTTAGCCATCAAACTTTATACTTTTCCTCAGCAATTGTCCCTCTCTTTATTTCTATAAAAAAAGATGAAAAGCGTTTCTCTTCTCTAAAACAGAACAGAATAAAACATAAAATAAAATTGAAACTTATTTGAAAAAAATACTAACTTGTAGTGACAAATGCAACTGCTCCAGGCTAGTCCTTTCTCCTCGCTGACCAAAGAGAAATTATTTTCCTTTACAGAGCTGCGCCTTTTATACTTTCTGCAACTGATTCTAATAATAACTACGATATGTAAATGCAAATTTCAGAAGCAGATAAATTTGAAGAATTTGATCTTTCAATCCATTTGTCCACACACTGTAATCCCCTGTATAAATATTTTCCACTGTTCTTTTGAGTAACAAGTCCCACTTTTTCAGCTATTTTGCTTTCTTTGAAGATCTTTTCTGCTATAGAAGTCGACAATTCTCGATCTTTAAAATGTTTTTTCTCCAACTGTAATTCCACATTGAAGTTACTTTCTTTTCACAAAGCGCAATCAATTAGAACGTTAAATTGAATATTGAGAGTTATTTTTTGCATTTTGTTAATAAGTTCAATTTGTGATTTTTAATTCTGTAATCTGATAACAAAAATATATCCAAAGTCTCCAATATATATCCAAAGGAACACTGTGAATTCAGTTATCCAAAATACGTCTTTAACAATAAAATGCAGTAGTCATTTTTCCCCTTGTTTGTGAGTGGCTGAAACAACATTCGTACTTTTTATTCCTCTATTAACGAAATATATATCTCCTTTAGGATCACCTAATGTCGATTTATAAACATCTAAAACACCTCCATGTACATTCTCCGGATTCCTTCCTTTTCCTTCTTTAATCATCTCATTTTTTTGAACTCTTTTACATGAAAACTTTATTTTACTACTTTCCTTTTACGTTGCTATATCCGATTTTGAACACAAAGCTATAAGGTTACTTCAACTTCAAAACGATTTGGTTCTCTTTTTCCATATTGTGCAGATTTACTAATAAAAAAACTCATCTTTTTGATCCTCATAATATTGCATCTTTTGAGGATCCATATTGTCTTCAAATTTTTCATATTTGGGACTCAAAATTTAATTGTCATCATCAGCAATCAACCTCATTTTTTAACTTTTTTATTCTTTCTCGCCTTTTTCCTAGTTGGCTTATCATCATCATTTGAAGAGAGGTCTTGTAAAATTTTAGAGGTGTCCTAAGTTCCCTTCTCAGAATGCTCTTTTCTGTCCTGCCTGGAAGAGTGATTTGTGGTCCTTGAGCAACTTAGATTTTTTAAATGCTTTATGTACCTCTGACTTCAAGGAAATGGCTTCTGCATGAATCTCTGGATTTCTGAAGGATGACAGTGCAACTAGATAGTTGCAGCTCACTGCAAACAGTGCTCCTCCGAAAAGAAATTCCTCTTCCATGAAACTACCCATGCTTTCATCATCAAACATTGTTTCAAGCACTTTGTTGGCATTGTTTTTTTGAGGGAACTGCAGTGGGTTCTTTGTTGTTGAAGTGCTGCAGCTTGTCAGAGAAAAAATCGATATTTTTGAGGGTGGAAGAAGCTTTCTTCTTTTTGTAAAGGTGACTTTCTTCTAAGATTTCCAGATTATCCTTCACTGTCTCGGAAAATTTGGAAAGGAAAATATACGGCCAGACAAGCAGCTCACATGACATCGTACTAGTTCTTGCAAAACCTGGATTCCTCCAGTTCTCGATTGTTCAGCTGACTTAGATAGGGACATTATAATGAAGAAAGAGGCAAATGTGGCAGGATGTGGAAGCAGAAACTCTATGTGTGTTGGGTCACTTTTATATTAGCATGTCTGAAGAAGCCAAGAAGAGAGTAGAATGGGAAATTTAAAGTTTTTTGTTTTCTTTTGTGAGAGCTGCAATTTTCTTTGAAAGTGTGCGAATCACTGTGTTCTTATCTACACATGCATCACAATGGCCTCTCTCTTCCGAACGCAAATGAACATGGTCCTCTTGAACTGCCTCATCATCATCACTTACAATTATCCTGATCCTTTGGCTCTGTAATTTCTGTAGCGATGGCTTCCACTTCAGATTCAGTGCAACTTGCTCCACTTTTTTCCTGGGTCTAGGTTCTTGGGGTTTGGTGTAACCCACGTCCAAGACTTAGTCTGGATTTACAGCTGTCGGTATTGTTGGTAGACCAATAAAATAAACTGAGCATACACAGTGTCACTATTGCAAGGTTCTCGGCATACGCAAGCTTTGTGTTTCTGATGCTTGTGTGTCTCACATAAAGACTTTTTCCACTTCACAAGGCGATAGCTGCTATTAGCACAGCCTATAACAGCCCAGTTGCTCTTTGCCATCTCTGACCTGTAGCACTCTTAGCAACCACTACTAGTCTTTTTAGCGATGGCTGTATTTTACCCCACTAAAGTAGGTACTAGACGCTGCGCGTAAATTTTTTCATAATGGCTGCCGCTTATGTTGAATAGGTGTATACTGTCGGGGGTGATTAGATTGTTTGTTGATGTAGACAGGATTGTTATTTGGTTTTCGATATGGTTGAATAGTATTGTTTTGAATGGCCAGTCATGTATCTAAAAATTCCACTGTTTTAATTTTAATAGATAGTGCACACTCCTTGAATATTTCAATGATTTTCTTTCTTATCTGGTCCATTTTTCCAGCTCAATGCTGATAAAATTGAGCTGGAAAAACTTATAGAAGTTTTTAAACTTGCAAATCATCACAAGATTCCATTGTATAATATGCTTTTCTCAAATTAAGGAATTGTTTACGTTTTTAGAATTGAAGATTTGTATAAAATAGAGTGATTTTTAGCGTCGTGTTATAATACACTTTAACTACAGTGCAACCAAAGGTATATGACAACTTCTTTCGTTAGCACTTTGAACCAACAGCAAGATGCTTCTTCCAAAGAGCCTCCCTCTTAAAACTACTACAGCGTATTTATAGATACAAGCATTTTACAAGTATTAATGACAACCAATCAGCTAAAAACTCATAAGACCTATAACCAAAAGAAACATAGATAATTAAAAGCAAAGTTAACCGGAAAAATGTGTTTGCTAAATATTTAAATTATACAATAGTTCTTCGATTTGGTGCACAACATTAGTTTCCTCATGCATTAAACAATTCAGCTTCTGTCTCAGAGAGTATGAATATGACATTATTTTTTAGGATTGTAGTTAACAATAATTTCTTGAAATGTTGCAGGATTTTACTTCAAAGATTTTTTTCTACTATCGATAGCAACTGTTATCAGTATCAGTATCTTCAGCTGTAAACTGTTTCTCGGGACGAATTTTTTTTATCGTTGGGGGAGAAACTTGCGCATTTTATAAGCCTGAATGATAGGCACTGAGTCCTTTAGAGCAGAAGTGTAATTTTGTTAATAGAGTAAGGTCACTTCTAAAGAAATTTCAAAAGAGTTGAAAGTAGAAAGGGACATTTTCTGCCCATTTAACGGAAGGTTAGCCACCCCTAGCCCCTAGCTGAATCATACAATAAAAGTAAACTTTGTAAATATGAAATGTTAAGAATATGTGACTAGACAAACAATGGTATAATATTAAAATCTGATATCTCTTCACAGGTTTTGTCAGAAAAGAATTTTTGATGTTAAGGGTGATAACAAGTATAAAAATTAGCTTCATAGGTATCAATTTGAATTTTCTTTTTCATTATCCAGGAACTGCCTAAAAAAATTGACGTCTTAAAAAAAAGAGTCATCCGAAAGAGAAACTCTTTGAAAAAAGTTTCAACATCTGGCTCTGGGCTTACAGATGTATATGGTTTGAAGAAAGACCTCTTACACTTAGAATGGCTTACACCATTCATACGCCAGCGTTCCACAAGAATGAAAGTTCTGGTTGTAAAAATTTACATTTTTCTCTGTTTACTGTGAGCTTTCTTGCCTTTAATCTTGCAATGCTTGATCCCTTTCCTTGCCACAAGCCGCTTTAGAGGCTTCGCCTTGTTTCCCTTTAAACGCCACTGGCCGCTTTAGCGGCTTTGATGACGTAATTCGGTTACATAACTTTGGCTTTGGTTTTCTCCATAATGTTGTTGCTATAGATACCTTTCATTTATTTAATCCTGTAGACAAAGGATGAAACCACAGGCACAGGTGTTCTTTGTCACATGTTTCTATATGAAATTTTTGAAATATCAACCGTTGAACTTTGTTTTGAGTTAGGCCATGTTTGTTGAGCGAAGGAAGCATGGCGACGAACGACTGTAGTGCATTGAGTGATAGTGATTCTCAAAGTAGTGATTCCTCTGCTGCCGATATCGGAGATTTTAGTAGCGAGTTTATTGATGAATTCTACGGTGTTTTTGGGGATTCGGATGATGAAGAAGAGGAGTTTGAAATGCCGGAGGTCAAATGGGCGTTGGGAGGAAATGTGTGAAAACAATCAGCTGATGCTGAAACTGTAGATGAAAGGCCGAAACCTGCAGAAATAGCAAATCTTTCGTTGGATGCAAAGCTACTTCTAGCCTTTATCAGATGAACTGCTGCAAAGAGTTGTAGACTGGACCATTATGAACGCAGAAAAAAAATGGGTGCAACCGAAGGAGAACGCTGGACTATAACCTTGGATAAAGTCAAAGCATATTTATGTGTTGTACTAATTGCAAACAGTTTGCTAACAACACCCAGAAATGAAAGATACTTTATAGCAGACGAAAATTAATGGATCTTTCATACAAATATTTGCAAGGTCTTTTCAAAGAACAGATTTAGAGAAATCCAAAGATTTATCCATTTTTGCGATCCAAATATTCTCGCAACAAACGACCGTTTGTACAAGGTTAGGCCAGTTATTGATCATTTGCAAAAGAAGTTTCGGGGTTTGTATGTTCTGGGAAGAGAAATTTCAGTAGATGAAAGCATGATCCCATTCAAAGGGCACATTGCTTGGACCCAGAGAATGCTGCAAAAACCAGTGAAGGTTGGAATCAAAGTGTTTGTTGTAGCAGGCTGGCAAACGGGTTGCTGCTGGAATTTCCAAATTTATACTGGAAAGGTAACAGCCCCAAGGAGATGATGTTGGAGACCTTGGCAAAACTGATCATGTTGTGATCGATTTGGTTAAAAATTTAACCCACCAAGGACATCATTTATACCTTGACAATTTTTACACTAGTGTGCCCCTTATTTTATTCCTGGAGAGCCAGGGAATTTATACATGCTGGACAATAAGGTCAAATCGCAGATATTACCCCATTGATATTATCTCCAGAAATGCAAAATCGATGGCTAGGGGAGAATTCAATACACCTTTCCCGAATTCAATTGGCCTCGTATTCGAGTCAGCTGAAATCGAGGACAAGCTTGATAAACAGCCCGACTTCCGCGGAAATTTAGTAGGTTGTCTGGTGAGTAGTGTGGTGCGTGATCTTGTTCTTTTCTCTCAAACGTTATAGATTTGATTTGGAAGAATCATTATCTTAAAAAAACTAAAACAGAAGTTATGGCAGTAGATTCAAATGTTTATCCTGGTACCTCGCAATGTCGCCCAGCTGAACTTGATGGTGGCGGGTCAGGCGTATACTGTTGCATCCCACTCTGTAAAAACGCTACATACAACCGAGAAAAGCAGAAGTCAGGTATCGGTTTTTTCAGATTCCCGAAGGATAAAGAAATGAAGGTTAAATGGATAAACATGATGAAGCAATTTCGACGAAGCGGAGGTGCTGATACGTTTAAAGTGACAAGCTCGACTGTAGTATGTGAATTTCACTTCAAAACCAGCGAGATAAAAGTTTCTTCTGGTTACGGAAAAAAGTCCTTGGTACCTGGTGCTGTTCCAACTATTTTCAAATTCAAGCCAAAGATTAGCAAGGCACGCAAAGCTCCACTTGACCGCAGTAATATGCCAAGTTCCAGTAGGCCAGTTTCGAATGAGTCATCAGAAGAAATGGAAGTTGAGCTTCCGGAGACCGGCAATGTTCCAGGTTGTTCAAATTGTGCATGTCACGAACAAGAAATTGAAAAATTGCAAAAAGAGAGATCCTTTCTAGAAGAAGAGCTGCATGAATTGCGAAGAGAGAACATTTATATTAAAGAAGAATTGGAGTCTTTGAAAACTAATTCTATTTACAATTTCAGTAACATTTCAAGCTGTCCTGAATTATTTGTTAAAGCTACTGGCCTAGAAGTGAAAGCTTTTCAAGATTTGTTTGTTTTTTTGAAACCTGGAGAAAATTGCAACAACATTAAATTTTATGAAACTATAAAACGTGCAGAGACCGACAACAATGCCACAGCAAGACCCACATCAGCATTCCCAGGAAAGAAACGTGGTCCAAAACCAAAATCTGAACCAATAGATCAACTGTTTATGTGTTTGACATGGTTAAAAAATGGGTTTACTTTGTCACACATGTCTTGGTTGTTCAAGTTGCCAAAATCTACAATTTCTCGACATCTAATATCTTGGATAAATTTTCTCTATTTCTCTCTTGGCAGTCTTCCAATCTGGCCATCAAAAGAAGTGGTCCAAAAGTCAATGCCTGCATCCTTTAAGAAAACTTTTCCATCAACACGCTGCATAATAGACTGTACAGAGCTATTTTGTCAAAGACCTTCATCACTTGCCATTCAAAGTAGTCTCTACTCTTCCTATAAACATCATGTCACCTACAAAGCATTAATTGGCATTGCTCCTTCTGGTGCTATAACATTTGTTGGCCAGCTCTTTGATGGTTCCATTTCTGATAAGGAAATTGTTAAGAGAAGTGGTATTCTTAATAGTTCGCTGTGGGATGAAGGAGATAGCCTGATGGCAGACAGAGGCTTTACAATATCTGAAGACTTGAAACCTTTAAAAGTGCAGTTAAATATACCTGCATTTCTTGGTGGAAGAGACCAGTTATCTGAAGAAGAGGTCTTGAACAGCCAAACTATTGCATCTGTGCGCATTCATGTGGAGAGGGCAATTCAACGAGTCAAAAAATTCAGGCTTATCAGAAATGAAATACCTTTGGTTTTGCATGGCTCAGTAAATCAAATTTGGACTGTCTGTTGTCTGTTGTGTAACTTTATGCCCCCCTTGATACAAAATAAAGATTTATCTTAATATAAGTCCTCAAGTTAAAATTACTGTAAACATTGTTTTAACACTACCGTAAATCCTTGAATTGCCCCCCCTTGAAAAAGCCCCCCTCGAATAAACCCCCATCCTAGAACTACAAATTGTTATAAGCCCCCCCTCAAAAAAGCCCCCACTCTTACCCTAAATTCTCGAATTGGACCCCTCAATTTGATGATTTTTGCCATTTGAGGTTGTCTATGGCATTTTATTGAATTACCACAACAAATTCATACTTTTGGTAATAATTAATTAAATGCTCATAAAGAAACTCCTACTAAAATAAACAAGGTCTGTTAATGATATCTTCTTAATGTCTACAATAATTTTATAAGCTCCCCCCATACTATAAGCCCCCCCCCCCCTCGAATAGGCCCTCATCCAAAAATATCAAAAATAAATAAGCCCCCAAGGGGCTAATTTGAAGATTTACGGTATGTTATATATATCACATGTGGTATAAAAATATCAAGCTTAAATTTTCACCATAAATCTTGATCTCTTTGTATAAATTCATCAATCAAACAGGTTGTTTTTTTTACTGAGAATCTAATTCATTAAAAAAGCTATATTATTAGGAGCTATTGAATATGAATAGAAAATATTAGTTATGGAATATATATTTATATCAAGTACCTGCATTCACTTACTTACATTAAAATCTAACTTACTTTGAAATTAATAATGGTAGCATGTATTTTCTATAAAAGATGTTTAGTTTCTGAATCACATTTACAAAATATTCATTATTAAATGGAGTTCTGACAATTATCAAACCTTTAAATGTATATACAATAAAGTCACAATAAGGAGCACCAGATAGTCCCATTGCCATTTGGATTTGTGTATAATAGCCATGTTCTCTTTTAAGCTCTGGCTTTCCATTTACCAAAGAAACATAAAAGCTTTCATCAGCCATCAGGTCATCTGGGGTACTCTTCCTTTTGGTTTTAGGACATTTGATTTCCAAGAGACCAGTACCAGCCTCTGTATTATCACTGACAAGTCCGTCAGGACTAGCAGCAAGCCAGAACAAATAGGGTTGTACAACAATACCAGTCTCACGTACTGCTCCATCATGCCTCAAATTATATTTTAAGTACTCCTCATACTGCTTTCTGGCCACAGGTTCATTCATTATCCCATGCTTGAAGGCATCTTTCACCAGTTGTGGAAGTTCTGTTTCTGGCTTTGGATTTAGAAGCTGATTTGCCAGAGCTTCAAAGTTCCGTTTGCGATTTAAAACTTTGCTTGCATTGCTAGAGGTAAGACGCCTCATTCGAATTTCATGCCACTTTTTGCACTGACTTTGCGAAACAGTGTCTTTTTCTATTTGGTATGAATCTGCTTCTGAAATTCGTATTTCATCAAGAAACTCAATTTCTTCCTCTGTAAGTGTTCCCCATTCACTTGGCACAACAAGATGATCTGGTGGTAAGATCTTTAAAGGTAATGGAGTGTAAGAATGTGTTGTGTAATCACGATATTCAGAGCGAGGGATATTTGTAACAACTGTAATAGTTGAAGAATGCACAGGTGCTAGTTGATGAGCTAAAGTGGATCCAACTAAAAACTCTCCGAACCTTGTATTGCTCATTTCACTCAGGGAAAAATCAGTGCAGTGAGCAAAACCAATTTTTTCATCTTTTTCAGCAAGCTTTGCTTCCATGTCCAATGCTCTTATCTTTAGATCAGACTTGCTTTCGTTCAATCTTGCATCATATACGGTGCATGATATTCCCCTCTTATCCCCCAACTTTTTAACAGTTTTTGTCATGGCTGGCTCTTTTGTGGCACCATTTTCTTCAGGAATTCCCCATTGTCTTGTCTTACTGGTACACGCTATCTCCTCTGGCACAATTATCAATTGATTCAACGAGTAATCTGCCAATTCAAAAAGTAAGGCCATAACGTGGTTGCAATATCCGCTCTTTCCGGCAGGACAAGAGCACTTTGATGAAACAACAAGGCCAGTTTCCCGGTCCAGCGAAACTTCAACTCTACGAATTTCTTTTTTCATGCTAGCCTTACATTTCGCTTTGACATTAAAGTGGTTTTCAGAAACAGTGGTGAAAATACTATCAGCCGACAGATACCTCTCCTCTTTGAATTTTCTACCACGGTCCAGAGTTTTGATAATTGCGCTGCCTTTACCACTAGATTTTCTTTGGATCTCTATCTCCTTGATAGAGAAAAGTGGCATTTCCTTCAAGCTTTTCCCCCAAACGATATTTACATTAGATTCTACCTGAGATTCTGCAACTTTTTCGACGTTTTTACAAGGAAACTTGGCCGAAGAAGTATTGTCGACATCCATGATTTCCGCTACAAACAAATTTTGTCAAGCTTGTCCTCGATTCCAGGTGACTGGGATACGAGGCTAATGGAATTCGGGAAAGGTGTATTTTGCATTTTTCAAAGGCCTAACTGCTCTAATGTGGAAAGATTCAAAGCCAGTCTATTTCCTGAGCTCAATTCATGATGCCACACTTGGAAAACCAGTAACAAGAAACCTAAAGAAGAACGGCAAATACGAAAAGATTGCAATTCAAGCATGTCCAATTCTTGTCAGCGATTACAATACAAAAATGGCTGGTGTGGACAAAAGTGACCAACAATCTGTTGTGAAAAAGGATAAGAAACAGAAGACTTATTATATGAGAATATTTATATCCTTTTTCATGAAATGTATAAACAATTCTTACATAATTGAAGGGCATGTCAAGCCTCATGTTGTTCAAGGTAAGGCCAAACGAGACCTTCTCTCTTTCAAAGAAGAACTTGCCACACAATTGGTTGGCAATGTCCGTGCAAAGGGGAAAGGAAGAAAAAGAAAAAGGACAGAGAAAGATAGAAGGTTACAAAATGTTGGGGCTCATCTGCCAAAAAAAGGCCAAGGCAAGGACCACAGATGTTTTGTCTGCAAGAGAAAAAGGCAGAATTGGATAAAGCAGAACCCAGATGCTGATCCAAAGAACTGCCCATTCAGTTTATCAAAAACAACTTTTGGCTGTGCAGGTTGTGAGCCAAAGGACACTGTATACCTCTGCATAACAAAGGAAAATAACTGCTTTATTAACTATCACACCAAAGTTCTATTTTGGCTATAATAACTGTGACTAATATCCTATTTTAACATTAATTCTCTAATATATTTTTAATACAGATGTATTTTTTTACTGTTTTCTAGTACTGAGATGAAAGTTGCATTTTTGGATTCCTTGGGAATATTTTTATCTGTTAATATAGAGAGTATGACACCAAAGGATCACATTAGGTACAGCCTATGACGTTGTATTTTTAGGCAAAACTGGATGCAAAATAGGATATACAAATTTCGCATGGTCACAGGGACGGGAAGGGTGATGGGTTTATGGGGAGGGGTGTTGGATGAGTACTGGTTGACAGGAGTACTGGTTCCATCTAGCCATACTCATATCTTAACTGCAAAGTCTGGTGTGTCGTACTTCGACCTATTTGTTAGGCTTTAGGATACCTGGTAAAAATACCTGATTTGTCAACTGTTTCAAACAATGTCTTTTTTATTGGTTGCGATTCTTATCCTAAGGTTCTAGCCCCTGTGTGGCTTATTATGAACTAGCTTGTGCTTGCTTCCTTTGTGTGGCTGCCTATGCTGCCTCTGCTTGGCAATTTTGAACTAGTTTGGAAACTAAACATAAGTACTCAATCGATTTATAGGATTTTTGTGACAACAGGGATATTTTTTTATTGTCTCTTTGTAAAGAGCTGTCTTAAACATCTGAAAACACTTATCTCTGTGTTGTTTTTCTGTGTCCAATACGATTTTCTACTCATTCTTCACATCTTCAAGTCCTTCTAGTTGCTTTTTTCCTTTTCTTTAGCTCAGAGCAAGGAATTTTGTTATGAATAGATGTTTGTTTTTTGTATGAAATTCGGAAGAAGGTTGAATCTTAAAGAAAATTGAAGCCAAGGAAATAATTTTACGGAAATGATATTTCAGACCTTAGAGGCAAAAAGGCAAACAAATATAAGAATGAATGGCTGTTTTAGTTTTAACGGCTAAAGTAGCTAAAATAGGACGTAATTGATAAGGACAAGCATAAGCATATAATTGATAAAGTGTCTCGTTTTTTGAATTACTATAGGCCAGCTTTATTACTTTTGAGATGTTTTGGTGAGCCTCCCAAGTTGGATTCTCGAATCCTTTCCATTTTACTAAGTAATGAGTAACTTTCTTTCTCACTTTTTTCCAAGGAGACACCCTACTGGATACACCTCAGAGTTTTCTGTGACAGGGGTAACCTCCTCATGGGAAGTTACTCAATTTGGCAGATGAGCTGGATCACTTGGATCGACCGAGGGCATTGCTTTCTTGCTCAACTTTCCATATTTGTGCCCGTATCAAAAAAGTCTGCATTTTGGGTACTAAAAGACTCTAGTATTTGAAACAGAGGCTCCATTCTTTTGGGTGTATCAACTAAAAGAGAATAAGAGAATATGTGCTAGGCAAAGATTAGAGTGTATTGAATAAATGCAAAATAGTATAGAAATGCAATGAAGTAAAGTGGCACAGTTTGGTTTTATTAAAAAAGTTCTATCAATTTCCTCTTAAATATCTGATAATCAACAAAGTAGCTTCAAGTAACTTTACCATAATCTAGCAATTAAGACAGATTTTCCTTATTGTTGTATGTATGATATTTGAAAAATATTAAACTCCCACCTGCAGCCCTTTGAAATGACAAAACTATATTTTCATTGAGGAGTCTTTGTAAAGATTCTTTTCCAAATTAGGATGCTGGTGCTGCAATGTTGGCAAAAAATGATGAGGCACTGCTACTTACAAATCACACACACCCTTTCCCCCCGATTCAATGTTGTGATTGGATTGGTAACTAATGTAACCATCCTAAACAAGATTGACCATGGGGGGAGGGGGGTTTAGGTCACCAGCGCACATTATATGAAGATATAGCACGCAAATTCCCTTTCCATTCATATGTCTC